ACTTTTTTTACTTCTGGTTTATGAAGTAAACCTCTGTTCTAGAGGTTGTGTCTATTTTATTCTGTGCTGTATTCTTAGGGCCTGGCAGAATGAAAACAGCTCAAAAAATATTTATTGATTTAAATTAAATGGGAGAAGGTGGCTTTGAATAACCTTTTGAATTTTGAGATTCTGTCTTGATATTATGACTTTTTTTTTTTTTTTTTTTTTTTTTTTTTTTTTAAGACAAGGTCTTGCTAAATTGCCCAGGCTGTCCTCAAACATGGCAATCCTTCTCAATCTACTGGGTAGCTGGGATTACATACAGGTTCCACTATACCCAGCTAAGATGTTTTGTGGGTAAAAGAAATACAGAATTTGGATCTGGGGTACATGTAGCTCAGCCCAGTGTAGAATATTTCCCTAGTGTGCATGAGGGCCTAGGTTCCATCCTCAGCACTGCCAAGAGAAAAAGAGTAAGTTCAGATGAGTGCTGGGGGCATCTGTGCTTTATATGGTAGTTATTGTCTTTATTTTTCCCATTCATTTAATTTTTAAATTAACAAATATAATTTTATTACAATAACAATAAATTGAATATTATATTCAAGGAAGCATCATTCCTTGAAAGATAAATTCACCTGTAGAATAGTTAAACCTAGCTAATTAACATATGAATCACTTCACATAGATACTATTTTTGTGGTTTGTGGGGAGATCACTTAGTATCCACTCTTCTGGCCTCTTTCTCAAGAAAATAGTATATCATCATTAACTATTGTTACCATGCTATGAAATAGAACTCTTGTACTTATTCCTCCTAACTGTAATTCTATATGTTTTAACCAGCATCTCCCCATCCCCCAGCCACCCCAGTCTCTGGAAACCACCATTCTATTTTCTATTTCTGTGAGGTCAGCTTTTTCAGATTCCACATTATGAGCGAGAACATACATTACTTTGTCTTCTTGTCTGGCTTATTTCAGTTAACATAATGATCTATAGTTCCATCCTTGTTTTGCAAATGACAGAGGTTTCTTCTTTCTATGGCTGAAGAGTATACCATTGTGTATATATACCACATTTTCTTTGGCCGTTTATCTGTTCATGGACATGTATGGTTGATTCCATGTATTGGCTGTTGTGGGTAATATTTCAATATATGTGAAAGTGCAGATAATCTCTTTGACACACTGATTTCATTTCCTTTGATTATATACCCAGTTGTGGGATTGTTGGATCTTGTGGTAGTTTAGTTTTAATATTTTGATGGATCTTATTGTTTCCATAGTGGCTATATAAAATTACATTCCCCCCAATAGAATGTAAGAGGTCTGTTTTCTCTACCTCCTCACCAGTTTATATGGTATTTAGGTGTAAATTTAAATGAAATAGATGTCTCCAGAAGCCAAATAAAGTTCTCTAAAAACCATCATATCAAACAAACAAACAAAAAACACTTAAAGGAATCAATTCTTTTTTTTTTTTTTTTAATTGGTGGTACTGGGGTTTGAACTTAGAGAAATCAGTTCTCAACATACTAAAAATCAAAGTAGAATGTTACTGAAAAAATGTTTAGATTAGTTGGTTGAGAGCAAGTACTTCCTTGGAGTCAGACAGAGCTGAGTCACACCACTAGGTATGCTAACACTTTCTCAGCTGTTGGGCAGGGACAGTGAGAGCACACTGTCCCAGGGCTGTGAGGTTCAGTGAGGAGAAACATCTTGGCATTCTTGGCACATTAAGTAAATAAATATTAGTTTGATGTTCAAACTAATCAGTGTTAATCTGATGTTGTTACTGTTAACTTTTCAGGAAACTAATCTATTTGCTCATATCTGTGTTTTCCTGTTCTTCAGTATGGTAAAACTTTCCTACTGTAAGTTGTCATATCTAATTGTTACTTAAGCTGTTCCTTAGCTTATGGCTGTTAATTTCTCTTATGTGTAAGTGGTATCTTAGAAGAGCAGAACAACTTCATCGACTACTTTTTAAATTCTTAAGTTATTTTCCTCAACTGTCTTTTTTCATTATTGTGTTTATTTTTTGATGCTAGGGTTCCAGCCCAGGGCCTCACTTGCTATGAATGTGCTCTACCACTCATCTACCGCCTTAGTCTCTCAGCTGTGGCTTTTAAGTAGTAACCTGCTAGTTACTGTTACTTTGTTATGTATGTGGTATTATTTTTTTCAAAATGTGTAAACCAGTACCCTTGGTACTAGCAGAATTAAGTTTAGTTAGCACTTTTGAGCTTCTTTCTCCCTGTCGTCAACTCTACCATGATCCAGAATCCAGTTAGTCTTTAGTCTCATTGCTTACAGTCTAATGGGAGAGAGAGATAGTATTGTCATAATCGGGTCTGTGCTATTTACTGTACAAAATAGGATTCAGAGTATGAATTTAATTTACGTAAAATTGATTATCTAGGGCCTTATGCGTGCTGGGCAGGGCGCTGTTACTGAGCTGTACCACTAGCCCCAAGTGATTGTCTTAAAAGTATTGTCTTGTAGAGAAATCTGTCTGATTTTTCTTAGGGCTTTCTGACCAGTTTGTTATAGAAAGGAATGCAATGAAGCTTATAATTCTTGTTTTTTAATTTTATCATTTTTACATTTACTTACATGTGTATACATTATTTGGGCGACCACACCCCCCCCCCAAGCTTAAGAAGAAAAAAGGTGTGGCTCAAGGGGTAGAATGTCTGCCTCACAGCACAAAGCACTTAGTACAAACCCCAGTACTGCAAAAAGAAAAGAAAAAAGTTCTTAGCAAATTTGTCTTATGGTTTAGATTTTTCTCTAAAAGTTCTTTAAATAATTGTCTGGGAAGACATTTGAGACTGCTGGTTGGCTTAGAAGGTCAATTCCTGTTTAGATTAAGTGGAGCATTATTTTTATTTTATTTACTTTTTTGTGGAGTGGTACTAGGGTTTGAACTCAGGGCCTTATGCTTGGTAGGCTAGTGCTCTACCACTTGAGCCACTCTGCCAGTCCTTTTTTTGGTTTGGGTATTCTTAAGATAGGGTCTCACGAACTATTTGCCTGGGCTGGCTTCGAACCTCAATCCTCCTGATCTCTGCCTCCTAAGTAGCTAGGATTACACAGGTGAGCCACTGGTGTCTGGCCATGTCTACATTTTATGGATTGTAAAAACTGAGGTTCAGAGAATATACAATGTATGGTCAGTTACTTTTTAATTAACCATGATGCCTCTCATAATTAAAACCCTTAGAACAGAAACCTCTCATAATTAAAACCATTAGAACAGTGTTTCTGTTCCTATGGATTTAGAACTGCCTAGAGGTGTGATAGTTCCCTGCAAAGTCATGTATGTATTTTCTGTAGGCATTTATATAGGTATAAATACATATATATATGTCACCACTTTTATTTTTTAGTGTATATAGATGCTTTTGTGACAAATTCATTAGAAATCATGTGAAGCAGACATACTGGTGATATTAGAGGAAAATGATATGACAGTCTTAGCAGTGCAAGATATTTGAATTAACAGCTTTGCATAGTTTGCTACAAATTGGTAAGATACAAGAATGGGTTTCTTGAAAGTAATTAAAATCAGTGTTAATGGTAATATCTGAAATTGTTCTTGTCATCAGTAGTTTATTAAAATAAGGAAAAAGTTGACCCTAGTTACTTGGGAAGCTGAGCCCAGGAGGTCAGGGCCAGCTAGGGCAACATAGTGTGACCCCCATCTATTAAAAAAAGAAAGAATAATGAGAAAAATTAGTTTTAAATTGCTGAAATCAAAATTTTAAATTGTGAAATCTAATTAAGTATAAAGATGACTAAATCTATTTCTGGATTCTAGCTTAATTTTTAATTCTGTGTGAGGGGGTGTGTTTTGCTGGGGATGGAACCTAGATCCTCAGATATGCTAAGCAAGTGCTTTACAATTGAGCTACACCTCAGCCTCATAAATGTTTAATATTTAATGATTAGTCTTTTTCTAACTTAGCAACTGTGTGCTCTCTGGACACATAACATTGTATTCTGTTATCTGTTCCATAGGTGTTTCTATTGTTGATAAAAAAATATTTTCAGTCCTGTAGGCATTCTAGGTTCCAGTATAAGCTCAAATAATAATGCTTTAAAATATTTGTGCTATTTGTGTCTGTGTAGCTACTAAGATAAACAAGAATTGTCTGAGAAGTCCTGGCCCTGGGGGCACTTACATTTAGTAGTGAAGCCATCCAATAAACATGACTAACATGCAAGTAGGTATCTGTAATAAATGCTAGATAGGGACAAATGCTTTTTGGAAGTGCTGTTTTCTACTTTCAGAAACTGTTTTCTGAGAAAACTTTTCTAAGTAGACATTCTATCAAAGAAACCTGAGTGATGACATAAACATACCACTTGTGCAGCATCTGGAGTACAACCAGATAGCAGGATCAGCAAATGCAGAGGCTATGAGGGAGGGGTGACTTGGCCTTATTCAAGAGACAGCAAGGAGGCAGATGTGGCTGGAGCATATGAAGGAGAGTGGGATGGTGGCGCTATACTACTTGAGCTACACCTACAGCCCTTGAAATACATTTTGAAGACAGAATCAACAGGATGGATTGATTGTGATGTGAAAGAGCACAGTCCAGGATAACTCCAGGGCTAATAAGTAGACACTGGCCTTTTTTAAACAAACCAGTATTCACAGCTGGGTGCTGTTGGCTCACACCTGTTATCTTTGCTACTTGGGAGGCTGAGATCAGGAGGATTGAGTGCCTGCTTTGCAAATCTGAAGCCCTGAGTTCAAACTCCAGTTCCACAAAAATAAATAAAATAATTGGTTTTAACCAGATTTTGTGTTTTGAACCTGTGCTGCTTCTGTGATTAAAAAATGGGTAATTTCAAAGTTAGAATTAACATGGTACTAAATGTAATCTAAATCTTAGTGCATTGTCTAGTACCCCTTTTAAGTTTAGGAAAGAATTTATGTGACATAAAACTTTTATTTTGTCTTTTTATTCTTAGTGATTGGCCTTTGCACTCTTTCCACATTTAAAGATGGTGAAGCTAGATATCCATACGCTGGCCCATCACCTCAAACAGGAACGGTTATATGTAAACTCTGAGAAACAGCTTATTCAGAGGCTGAATGCAGACGTACTTAAAACAGCTGAAAAGCTGTATCGTACAGCATGGATTGCAAAACAACAGAGAATTAATTTGGATCGGCTTATTATAACCAGGTAAAGGAAAGATTTTTCAGGTCATAGATTTTGTAAACCACTTTAATTATATGCTAACTGTAATTAAGTAAATACTTCCAATAAAGTGCATGATTGAAGATAGTTTAAATCAGTGTTAAGGTGATTCTTTGCTTATAAAACATATACAGCTTAATTTTGTTTATTAGCTTAAGCACTGCTATATAAAGTTATAACTTTAGTATCAATGTTTTATATCATACTATTTTTATGTCTTTGTATATATAAAATTTTGTTGTTGTAGAGAATAAGACACCTTGTTTTCTACTTTTCTCATATTACTTGTATGCATTTCCATGTTTTGATATTGTATATCTACTTTTAGAAACTACATACTTCCTTATGTTAATGCCTTATTGTTCTCTTGTTCTAAGAAGCAGTTTTTAACTATAATAATAGTAGTATAATGTTAAGAAGTCAGACACAAAAGAATATATACTATATGATTGTATTTATATGAAATTCAGAAAGAGGTAGGACTGATCTTTGATGACGGCAATCAAAATAATGGATGCTTGTTGGGCATGCAAAAGCATTCTGGGACATCTCTTCTTCATCTTTTCCTTTTCCTCCTCCTCCTCCCTCTCTCCCTCTCTCCCTCTCTCCCCCACCCCCCATGGAGCTGGGAGGGGTTTGTCAAACCCTGGTCCTTGTGCTACTTCACCTCTCTACCTATATCCCTAGCTTCACCCCACACACTTTTTTTTGTTTTGTTTTTTTGAAATGGGGATCTCATCATATTACCCAGCCTAACCTCATACTCTTGGACTCAAGCCTCTTGTCTCTGTCTCTCAAGTCTCTTGTCTCTGTCTCTTAAGTAGCTGGGACTACAGACAAGTTCCACCACATCTAGCTGTTCTGTGTCTTAATCTGGGTTGTAAATAAAAATTGATGAAATTGAGCTCTTGAGATTTAAGCAGTTTCCTGTATTTTATCTCAGTAAGATAGTTTCTTTTCTAAGTAAGGGTAAAGAAAACAGTGCTGCTGTGAATTTCCTCTAAAACCAGGAACAATACAAGTGTGTGCACTGCCACCATTCTTAGTTAATACAGTGTTTGAATTCTTAGCTAGAGCAGTAGACAGTAGAAAGAAAAGGAATACAAATAGGAAGGGAAGACCCTAAAAACTCTACTAGGAGCTCTTAGATCTGATAAGCACTTTCAACAAAGTAGGAGTATACAAAATGAACATAGGAAAAAAAAGTAGCTTTTCTACACACTACTCACTGAAATAGAAGTCTGGAAGGCAGTCCCATTCATAATAAACTCAAAAAAAAAATTAGGCATAAACTTAACCAAAAATGTTGAAGACTTCTACAATGAAAAACTATGGGGGGGGGTAAGGGAAGGGGCACAAGTAAGGAGGGCAGAAATGACCCAACATTGTATGCACATATGAATAAAATAAAAATTAAAAAAAAAAAAGAAAAACTATAAAGCACTGAAGAAAGAAATTGTAGAAAACACTAAAGAATGGAAAGACCTTCCAAGTTCATGGATTGGCAGAATTAATATTGTGAAAACAGCCATACTATCAAAAATGATACACAAATTCAGTGTATTCCCAATCAGAATCCAATGACATTCTTCATAGAAGTAGTAAAAACAGTCATAAAGTTCATATGGAAAGACAGAAGACCCTGAATAGCCACAGCAATTCAGAGCAAAAAGAGCAGTGCTGGAGGTACCACAATTCCTAACTTCAAACTATACTGCTGTGCCATTGTAACAAAATCAGCATGGTCTGGCATAATAGAAGATCCAGAAATAACCCCAAGCAGGTACTGCAATCTGATTCTTTTTTGGAGGGGGCAGGGGTGAGGACTGGAATTTGAACTCAGGGCTTCATGCTTGCAAAGCTGGTGCTCTACCGCTTACACCACATCTATGGTCCATTTTGCTCTGGTGATTTTGGAGGTGGGAGGTCTCACCAATTATTTGCCCAGGCTGGCCTCAAACTACAATCCTCCCGGTCCCAGTCTCCCAAGTAGCTAGGATTACAGACATGAGGCACAAGCGCCCAGCTGCAGTCTGATTCTTGACAAAGTGTCAAAAACATACATTGCAAAAAAGACAGCCTCTTTAACAAGTGGTGCTGGGAAAACTGTACGCAGTTTTCCTGAAAGTAGATCCCTCTCTCTCACCTTGCATAAAAAAAATCAACTCAAAGGCAGGTAGGTACCAGTGATCTCGCCAGAGGTAGAGATCAGGAGGATTGTGGTTTGAAGCCAGCCCGGGCAAATAGTTTGACAGACCCTATCTTGAAAATACCCATCACAAAAAAAGGGCTGGTGTTGTAGCCCAAGGTGTAGGCTCTGAGTTCAAACATCAGTATCGAAAAAAACAAAAGCATAAAAACCTCAAAATGGATCAGGGACCCTAATGCAAGACCTAAAACTTTGAAACTACAAGAGGAAAACATAGGGGAAACACTTCATGATATAGACATAGGCAAGGACTTTCTGACTAAGACCCCAATAGCTCAGAAAACTGGAGCATGAATTGGCAAATAGGATTTATGAAATTAAAAAGCTTCTGATATGGGCAAGGTAGTACACAACTATAATCCCAGATACTCAGAAGGCAGAGGCAGGAAGATCATGAGTTTGAGGCCACCTGGGCAAAGTTAGCAAGACCCAGTCTCAACAGAATAAAAAAAAAAATACCAAAAGGTCTGGCCATGTAGTCAAATGGTAAAGAACTTGCCTTAGCACGTGTAAGACCCTGGTTTAGTCCTCTGTAACACACACACACACACACACACACACATACACACACACAAAATAAATAAATAAATAGCTTCTGTACAGCAAAAGAAACAATTAGTAGAGTGAAGAGACAGCGTACAGAATGGAAGGAAGAAAATCTTTGCCAGATATTCATCTGAACTAAAAAAAATTAAACATCAAAATAATAAATAATCCAATCAATAAATAGGCAAATGAACTGAACAGACGCTTTTTTTTTTTTTGGAGAAATCCCATCTCCAAAATAATCAGAGCAAAATGGACTGGAGTTGTGGCCCAAGCAGTAGAACACCAGCTTTGTAAGCCTAATCCATGAGTTCAAATACCATCCCATCAAAAAAAAGTTAAAAGTAGAACTCACATGTGACTTAATTATACTAGTTTAATGTATCTACCCAAAAGAATTAAAGTCATCTTACTTCAGAGTTACCATGTTTATTGGGGCAGTATTCACAGTGTCTATATTAATCAACCTAGGTGTCCATCAGTGGATGAATAGATAAAAGAAAATGTGGTATATATACACAATGAAATTTTACTCAGCCATAAAGAATAAAATTATGTCCTTTTGCAGGAAGAGAGATAGAACGGGAGTTCACCATGTTAAGTGAAGTAAGCAAGTTCCAGAACTACAAGTATATTGCATCTATTCTCTCATCTGTGGAAGCTAGGGGAAAACTACAAAACGGGACCAAACAAAACAATAGTGCTGCTGTGAACACTGGTGTAGATTTTTACCCCTCCTTTAGGCTCGTTTAGGATTTATTTACAGAAGTAACAAGCCTGGTTGAAGGATGTGATTCTGCAGCTCATTACATACTGGCACACTGTTGTTGAAAAAAAGTTGAGCAATTATGCCTGACATAGACTTCGTTTTGATTACTTTTTAGTATTTGGATATTTGTAAACTTTCTTGTGTCCACAAATAAGTGGTTTTAATGTTAGCAAATTTTTAATTTAATTCCAGAGTGCAGTTCTGGACAGCAGTTGTTAGTACCTACAAATTGATGCTTTTCATTTAATCTTTTTTTTTTTTTTTTTTTGGTACTGGGGTTTGAACTCAGAGCCTATACCAGCCCTTTTTTGTGATAGGTTTTTACCAAGATCCTCCTGATTTCTGCCTCCTAAGTAGGTAGGATTACAGGTGTGAGCCATTGGCACCAGACTCTTTTCACTAATCTTGAATTGACTTTCTTTGTATTTTTTAGTTTTGTCTGTCTTTGCTCATTCACATGCTCATATTCTAAAAGATTTTAGCAATTCAGAATGATCTCATTGTTGGGACTGTAATCAGCTCATATTTCCATGTTTCAGTGTAGTATATGTGTTATGTTATCACTGTTATTAATAACATTATTTTACTTGCTTGCTAATTTTTTAGTGCTGAAGCCTCCCCTGCTGAATGTTGCCAGCATGCCAAGATTTTGGAAGATACACAGTTTGTTGATGGATACAAGCAATTGGGATTTCAGGAGACAGCTTATGGAGAGTTCTTAAGTCGATTAAGGGAAAATCCACGTCTTATTGCCTCCTCTTTGGTTGCTGGAGAAAAACTTAATCAGGAGAACACACAAAGTGTTATTTACACAGTTTTTACCTCCCTTTATGGCAACTGCATTATGCAAGAAGATGAAAGCTACCTCCTTCAGGTTTTGCGATACTTGATTGAATTTGAACTTAAAGAAAGTGACAATCCCAGGCGACTTTTGAGGAGAGGAACTTGTGCCTTCAGCATCTTATTTAAACTTTTTTCTGAAGGACTCTTTTCTGCCAAACTTTTCCTCACAGCTACTTTACACGAGCCAATCATGCAGCTGCTTGTTGAAGATGAGGATCACCTGGAAACAGATCCAAACAAGCTAATTGAGAGATTCTCCCCATCTCAACAGGAAAAACTCTTTGGAGAGAAAGGCTCAGATAGATTCAAGCAAAAAGTTCAAGAGATGGTGGATTCCAATGAGGCCAAATTGGTGGCTTTGGTGAACAAATTTATTGGTTATCTGAAACAGAACACCTACTGTTTTCCTCATAGTCTGAGGTGGATTGTGTCACAGATGTACAAAACCCTCTCTTGTGTAGATAGGTTAGAAGTTGGGGAGGTCAGAGCAATGTGTACTGATCTCCTGTTGGCTTGCTTCATTTGTCCTGCAGTGGTCAATCCAGAACAGTATGGAATAATTTCTGATGCACCTATTAATGAGGTGGCACGATTTAACCTAATGCAGGTATGCGTTTGCTTATTATTATTGTGGCGTTTAGTTTAAAATTAGTTGATTTTGGGCAGTGGTAGTGGGACAAAAATATGATAACAATGTTCATATTTTCTTACCATTCCTTTTCTCCAAACTGTCCTAAATATTTGCTTCTTAATGAAACAAAACCGGTCATATTAGGATCTTGAAATACTGTAGTCAGATTGCATTAGCTTTTTTTGTTTTGCTTTTTTATTGTTGGTACTAGGGTTTGATCTCAGAGCTTTGTGCTTGCAAGGTAGGCACGCTACCACTTAAACCACGCCCCCAGCCCTTTTTAGCTTTGGTTATTTTTGAGGTAGAATCTCAAATTTATGCCCTGGCTGGCTTGGACTGCAATCTTCTTTACACTCCTGTGTAGGTGAGATGACAGGCACATTCTACAGTGCCCTGTCTTTTATTGATTGAGATGGGGTCTTACTAACTTTTCGTCTGGGCTGACCTTGCACCACATTCTCTGCTTCCTGAGTATCTGGGATTTCATGTGTGAGCCGCTGTGCCTGGCTCTTCATTAGTTTGTAACGACATCTTTACACTCTTAAATGAGTATATTGATTAGACTTTTCTAGAACATTTCCATCACCCCTTCCTATAATTCCAAAATCCAGAATGAAAACTGAGTTATCTTTTATATTTCACTTGGTATAGCAAAACCTAAGCTAACTAAGCAAAACTAACACAAGGCTAATTTTAATTGGTATGTTTGTTGCAGAAATGTAATTTGTTTCACTGTAGGAAACCACCCTACATGTATGTATTCCCTTTCTGAAACTTCTGACATCTGGATCTGAATTTCAAAAAGAGGATTTTTGAACATATAGTAGCACTTTTTTCTTTTTTTAATCATTTGAGCTACTGATGTCACCTCATCATCGCTGCTGGGAATCTTTTCATCTTTTTTGTTTGTGTCGGAAGTTGAACCCAGGGTCTCACACATTCTAAGCATATGCTTTACTACTTGGCTACTTCCCCATCCTTTTAATCATCTTATTCTCCAGAAATACAGTGAAAAGACATTGGATTCATTCACAATAGACTATCTTTGGAATTTTTAAATTGTTATTTGTTACTTTTTGAGACAGGTTCTCGCTATATAGCTCAGACTGGCCTCAAACTCACAATCATCCTGCCTTAGCCTCTCAAATGCTGGGATTGTAGGCATATACTACCATGCCCTGCTTGATTTTTTTTTTTTAATGATAAGCCTTTTTTTTATGATTGGTTCTGTCATCTTGAGGTATTTATCAATTCACTGTATCGAAATCCCTGAAATATGGCTGGTGGCGTGTCTCAAGTGGTAGACTGCCTGCCTAGCAAGTGTCAGGCCCTGACTTCAAACCCCAGTACCTAAAAAAAAAACCCTGAGATAAAATTTAAACTTTTTCAGCATCTATGAAGCACTACCATTTTTCTTTTTTTTGTACTTCTTGGTGGGACTGAGGTTTGAACTCAGGGCTCCTGCTTGCAAAGCAGACACTCTACCACGTGAGCCACATCTCCAGTCCAACATTACATATTCTTATGACAGTGTGTTTATAGTTTTATTTTCATCATTCTCATACATACTGAATTACATATTTCCAAAATGAGTGAAACGAGGGATTGTCCACATGTTGAGAAAGTAATGCTGTGAGGATATTAGCTTTCAACACAGAGCCTGTATAGGAAATATAGTAGTAGTTCACTTTTGGTAGTAAGGAACTTACTGTGCAACATAGTGTTTACTTTACCAAAGAGCTTCTATTCTGTGGTAATTGTTTTCTTTGAAATACAGAAAGACTATTCTGGCTGGGCTGCCAGTGGCTCACGCCTATAATCTTAGCTTCTCAGGAGACAGATCAGTAGGATTTCGGTTTGAGGCCAGCCCAAGCAACAAAAGCAAGACCCTATCTTAAAAATATCCAAAACACACACACACACAAGCACACACACACACACAAAATGGGGGCTGGTGGAATGGCTCAAGTGGTCTCCCTAGCAAGTAGTGAGGCCCTGAGTTCAAACCGCAGAACTTCAAAAAAAAAACAAAAAAGAATATTCTATTTTGAGTGCTTTGTGAATACTATAGGGAAAAGCATTTTATATTACCTTTAAGTCATTTAATAAGTGAATCAGCAGATTAACTAAAAAATTTCCAAACTCATGAAAAATGCAGTATCAGAAACAAATGTATTGGATTTTTAACTTCCTAATCTTGACATGTGTTAAAGAAAAATTACAACAAAGTTTTTCATTTCCTCTTATTACTCTTAAACTGAAAACAGTAAAAGCTGACATAAATAAGATATGCATTTTATTGGGGACACTGTTTTTCATGCCTCATTAGATTGGTGTAAACATTGTGAAACCAGATTTTTAGGATGGAGTTAGTGCTTTCATGAGTAGAACTTGTGAGTATGTATAGTCTGTATCTATCACTGGTTTGGGTTGCAGGTAGGCCGTCTTCTGCAGCAGTTGGCAATGACTGGCTCTGAAGAGGGAGATCCCCGGACAAAGAGCAGCCTTGGAAAATTTGACAAGGTAAGAATGCATACTGTATCATATGAAATACTGTTTGTAGAAAATTCTGCTAAGGTATTAATAAACCTAACTACTCTCTTTAGTAAATCTTGTTCTTAGGCGATATATAAATTAATTTAGTAATTACCTTTTTATTATATTGGATTAACAAATTTAAGATTAAGATTTCTCTAGATTATTAACTCTCCCTCATAGAAATACTGATGTCATTGTAATGAGAATCAAAGGCTTGTTAAGATTATTTTAACAGCTTGTTCTTAAAAGATTGCTATTGTTGGACACCAGTGGCTCACACCTGTAATCCTAGCTACTCAGAAGGCAGAGATCTGGAGGATCATGGTTCAGAGCCAGCCCAGGCAAAAGAGTTCTCAAAACCCTATCTCGAAAAAAATCCATCACAAAAAAAAGCTGGTGTAGACCCTGAGTTCAAGCCCCAGTACCGCAACAAACAACAAAAAAAAACCGCTATTAAATCAAAGCTGTGGGTATACCAATCAGCCTTAGCTGTGTAATTTTAAGAGTATTTCAGAAGTTAACATTTATGGCATTGTTCAGTAGCTTAGTAGAATAACTTTCTTCATATTTCAAGTAGGCTAAACATTCAGCCTGGTTTAAAATTCTAAGGTTGTGCAATGAAATTTCCTTCTCACCTCTCATCTGTAACCTTCATTTACTGTCCAAAAGGTTCTTGAAGTTATCAGTATTTTATGTATCTTAAAGTTTTCAAAGTATATGAGCAAACTCCTACATAGATTCTCCCACTTACCACATCTCTCCCTTTCAGAAATGGGAGGCAGTGTGGTGTATACAATGTTCTGTGTCATGTTTGTTTTGCTTGCCAGAATATCTTGAGATTGTTCTATATCAATGCATAAAGTGCCTCATTTTTTTTTAATGTTGGGTTTAAAATAATTTTCAAAAAGTGAAATGTTTTTCATGCTTATACACCTTAATCAGAAATTTCATTCCAGTATTTTAAAAGGGAAGAATTCACCTTGATCTTTTCCTATTTTAACAGAATTGTGTTGCTGCTTTCCTTGATGTTGTGATTGGGGGCCGTGCAGTGGAGACTCCTCCCATGTCCTCTGTTAATCTTCTGGAAGGGCTGAGCAGAACTGTAGTTTATATAACCTACAGTCAGCTTATTAGTTTGGTAATGACTTTATTCTTTATTAGGTGTTTCTCAAAATTCTTTTAGCTCAGCATGTGCAGAGTCATAGAGGAGTACATTATGTAAGAAATACATGTTGTGCTTGAAAATCTGGTTTCATCGGTGAATGTCCTTTATTTTTGGTAGGTAAATTTTATGAAAAGTGTGATGTCTGGAGATCAACTGAGAGAAGACAGAATGGCTCTTGACAATTTATTGGCAAACCTACCCCAGGCTAAGTCGGGAAAGAGCAGCAGCTTAGAAATGACTCCCTACAATACTCCTCAGCTGTCTCCAGCAACCACTCCAGCAAATAAAAAGAATCGATTACCTATAGGTAATAACAATTTCTCATATTGAAGCTTTTCATTAAATTTAATTTTTTTTATTAGCCTTGTGATTGTTCTATGTTTTGGAATATAGTTTTTTGTTTTTATTTTTGAGATAGAATCTTTTGTAGTGCAGGCTTGGCCTCAAACTTGAGATATTCCTGCCTCTGCTTCTAAGTACTGGGATTACAGGCAGATACCCACCCTGTCTGTCTTAAAATACAGTTTTAAATACTTCTGAAAAATCTTTTCCTGCATTTACTGTATTTCAGTAAATGTAAATGCCTATAATCCCAGCTACTCAGAAGGCAGAGATTGGGAGAATTATGGTTCACGGCCAGCCCATGTACAAAGTTAGTGAGACCATATCAGCAAACAAATCGGGTATGATAGCGCACACCTGGAGTACTAGCTATGTGGGAGACATAGATAGGAGGGTTATAGTCCCGGACTGCTCTGAGCAAAAACTCAAGACCCAGCTTTTTCTCTCTCTTCGCTCTCTCCCTCTCCCACCCGGCAATAAAGAATCTCTTGGCCAGAAAAAAAAAAAAAAAAAACTCAAGACCCAGTCTGAAACATAACCAGAACAAAAAAGGTTAAAAGTGTGGCTCCAGTGGTAAGGCCCTGAGTTCAAACCCTGAACTGAAAAAAATGTTTTCACTAGTTAAGTGGAAAATAATAGTTATTGTTTCTGTTGTTATTTTTGCTACTAATCAGCCTCTTATCAGCTGAGCCAAGTAAGATATATTAACGTTGTTATAAAATAAAGGAAAAGTTTCTTTTTATTATGTCGCTTGTTCAAAAGTTCATTTAATCAAGTTTTATTCTCTCAATAAGCATTTGTTATCAATTTATGTATACACACAAAAAAAATTGAGCATGTAGCTTGTACCAGACACTATGTAAATCCTTTTTAAATGTTTCATTTAATCCACACAAACATCCCAAGAGGGTATAATCACTGTCTGTGCATGAAGCACTGTGTTAGACCCTGGGAATGAAAAAACCATTGGCACATGTCCTTACTCTCAGTTTGTTTGCTTATGGGTAGTTGGGATGAACAAGAGACCAGTGTCCTTCATAGGACCAAGTGTTCTGATGGAGATAAGCATGGGGGTTATACGACCCTAACTCAGTCAGGTGATGGTGTTCTCGGAAGACCTTGCAGCCTGCACTGTCTCTTGAGAGGTGCTGGTAGTTGTAGTAAATGAGCAGAGGAGCAGGAGTGTTTCAGTGCCTTGATGATGAACTGTTCAGTGAACATGAGTAATCATTACACTTTATACATTTTGAAGAATGGAATTTCATTCGTATAGTTTTGTGAGCTGAATTGTTAAGAACACAGTTTCTTAAAGCTAAAATTGATCTACTTTACACAATCTAATATAGAATTCTATCAGCAGCAGGAATGTGGCATCATATTCTTCAAGTCTTTGACTTTTTCATTATCCCAAAATGTCAGATTCACAATTAAAAATAGAAAAAAAAAATTTACTAGTGATTTTTAGTATTATGAGGTGTTTATGCTCTGGTAACATGAACAAATAGATGATTTTTGGTAAATAAGAGATATTTTTCCCATTGTTCATTACTGTACATTAGTTTTTTCATTTTCTGTCATCCAAAAGTGTCATTAGATAAGGTTGTAATGGAAAGTAAATTACAAATGTTTGCCCAGTATTATTTTGTGTAGTCATGTGACCTGATCATTGCATTTATTTCATATTTTGAAAAAAATGTATCCATTACTGAAAGGGTTGATTTTCTTTCTATTTAATGTCTTCGCAACCCAGGACAACAGTTAGCAGCCATCACTGCCTGGGATTCCTCAGCCACCAATCTTACTGCTCATATTACACTAGTAGCCCCGTTTGGTGGGTAATAGGCTGTTCTTCCTGTTCATGTACAACTTTCATTTAAGAAATAGTTTCTACAAGTGTGCTCCATGTGCATGTTGCTTTTGCTTTATCTAAGTTGCTACATGAAATTTGATTACTTGCAATTTTATAAATTACAGAATTTGCTAAGATCATAGACCTGCTCATGAAGTTGAATTTAAGTTCACAATTTAGTAGAAGATAGGAAGGGCCAGCAAATAATGGTGTGAACAAGCCTATTTTAGATTTTTGAAAATTGGGGAATGTTCTGATTAACAAACACACTGATACCACTGTGAAATAAAGATGGTTATATATATTTTTTGCCTCTCTGTCTTAAAGGAAGTCAGCATTCTCTCAAAGTGGATTTGAGAGACTTTTGCAATAATAGCTTTTTTACTTTATATTTGTACTTTTGATTATTTTGCCCTGAGAGAGAATATCTATTTACCTGTCCAGTTGTATTGAATTTTATTGCTCTTTGAGAGAAAATGGAAACATCACAGAGGACTAAACCACTTAGAAAAATTGTCACAAGCAATCTAAATCTTTCAGTGTCCAAAGTTCTTAAAAGATATAGAGGATAGATTATTTTAGAAAAAAAGCATTACCTATTTAATTATAGGCAGGGGAAAGACACCAAAAATAATTTGGTCCTTAATTAATTTAAAATGTTTCCATAAAAGATCTCATATTCAAACCTAAGGAAGACTCTCTTACATGTGGAATGAGATTAATACATTTCAAAGGAAAAAAAATGATCCTGGTTTTGCCAACATTTATTTAATTAAAATATATTACTGTGCAAGGCATGGCGGTTCATGCTTGTAATCCCAGCTCTCAGGAGGCTGAGGCAGGAGGATTGTGAGTGTGAGGCTAGTCTAGGCTATGTATTGAGATCCTGTCTCAAAAAAAAAAAAAAAACCAGAAGACAAAAACAAACTATTACTTGATAGGGTTATCAGGTTTCCAAATGAGAGTTTCTAACATTTTCAAATTCAGTTATGAGTGTGGGAGATCTGTGGCAGGTAAATCATTTTATATTAAATATAGTTAAGGTACCTTAAAAAGGTGAGAAACAATGTAATGCCTTTCTTGCCACCTCAGTCTTAAATTTCTTGGGGTGTGCATACTGTGCTGCAGATGTGATTCTGTGCACTTTCTGTCTGGTGGGCGTGGGTGAATGTTTCTGATGATCAGTGCTGAAAGGAAATCCCTTACTAGTCATCAGTGGAGTAGCAGGGAGAATATTTTTTGTTTTGTTTTTATTTCTCTTATCCACATTTTCACCTCTTTTTTTTGTGCATGTGCAAATATCCAGCACTAATAGTAAAAAGTTTTGTATTCATTGTGCTATTTTCTTCATTTTGATGTTTTGTCAAAAAAATTTTTTTTTCATCAGCAACTCGGAGCAGAAGCCGCACCAATATGCTAATGGATCTACATATAGACCATGAAGGCTCGTCTCAAGAAACCATCCAGGAGGTACAGCCAGAAGAGGTGCTGGTCATTTCTTTAGGGACAGGTCCCCAGCTTACTCCAGGGATGATGTCAGAAAATGAGGTATGAATATATCACTACATTTGTAACTATCAATGTTAAGAAATTTAAGATGGCGGTAGGGCACATGCATTTGGGAGGCTGAGACGGGATTTACAGGCAGGAGAATCTCAAGTTGTAGGTTACCTGTGGCAAAGTTAGGGAGACCCTATCTCAAAAACAAAACAGCAAAAAAAAGGTCTGAGGGCATAGCTCAAGTGCTAGAATACTTGTCTAGCATGTGCAAGGTCCTGGGTTCAATCCCTAGCACCATTAAAAAAAGAATGCATAGAGGCTTAGTGGTTTATAGATAACAGAGATTTATTTCATGCCTGTAATGGAGGCATGGAAGCAAGAGAATGAGGGTTCATGACCAGCCCAGGCTACACAGTAAGACCCTGTCTCAAAAAAAAAAAAAAAAAAATCTGCCACATCACTTGCTGAGTACTAAACTAATAAAATAAACTTTAATAACCGTACATGACACAACAGAGCAAAGGAAACACCAAAGCATTCTGACTCCTGCAATCCTGACCACTGCTCATCCTGTATGTGACTGTCAGTCTTTGGCACTGGTTGGGTAATGGAAAGGATAGCTACAGTTGGCTTACCTCTGATACACTTGTTCCTCAAGTTCCGTGTAAAAGTTTGGCAGAGCTCCTAAATGGATTTTTAGTTAAGAATGATTAAGAAGAAGTTAAATATGCATTTAATGAGGTTTCTTTTCTTTTGTTTTTATGGGATTGGGATTCAGATTTACAAAGTAGATGTTCTGCCTTTGAGCTACACCTCCAGTCCATTTTGCTGTGGTTAGTTTTTGGAGATGGGGTCTGGCAAGTTTATTTGCCTGGACTGGCCTTGAACCGCAATCCTCTCAATCTTAGCCTCCCAAGTAGCTAGAATTGTAGGTGTGAGCCACTGGCACCTGACTTGGTTTATTTTTTTATGAGTAGTCTTTCATTTGTGAATAATCGAAGTTGATATTTTATTTTTTAGGTCCTAAACATGCAGCTTTCCGATGGAGGACAAGGAGATGTCCCTGTTGATGACAACAAGCTCCACGGTAAACCTGATAAAACCTTGCGCTTTTCCCTCTGCAGTGATAATCTGGAAGGCATATCTGAAGGTGAAGGGCCACTTCATTCAGGGAGTTGTGTGGTTCAAGTCATATATGGTTTTGTGTTCTTTAAAGGAGCCTTATAAATTACAATTAAGCCATCTGCGCCTCTCACGAGGAGAATAATGAAATTTTCCTCTAAATGGGCTTGAACAGTTGAGTGTAAAGATTGTTTCCTGAATAAAATTAAGATCGCAGGAGGCTTTTGGTCATATAAAATGAAGAAGATGTAATCTCCATTCAGATTTAAATAGAGTGACAGCAAGTTTTATTTTCCAGTTCTACTATATACCAACGCTTACCGAGCTCTTTTAGAAGGATATGATGCATGTATAAATGAAAAAAATGGGCTTACTAGTATTGCAGGATGTTGTGTATTCTTTGAATGTTCTGCCTTTCTTTATTTACATATTCACATACACATTTGTGAAGCAGGATATAAAGCAAATAGGACTAAAAGAGAATTGTAAGCCAAGATGGTGAAGTAAGAATATATCATTCCACATATCAACAAATTTTTTTAAATGAGAAAAAGTTCAAGTTTGCTAACATTTAAAAGTAAATATAAATGTTACTCCTTTTTTCTCTAACCTTTCAAAATTTCACGAGTAATTTATGTTCACCCTAGAAAATGTAAAAAAAGTAGAATCATCTGTAATTTCACCATTCTGTTAATAGCAGTTAATATTTTTGCTTATTTGTAGCAAAACTATGTTTATGATGTTTTATAACCTTTTTGGTTTAATAACATAGCCTTTGTAATTTTACATTCTTCAATAACATGTTTTTAAATGCTTTTTCCTTTAATTTCAATAGGCGTATCATAGTTTACTTAAGCACTCTTCTGTGATCAGTAGGTAGATTGCTTCTGTTCTTTAGGTATTATAAGTTCTGCAGTAAGCAACTTCAATTTTTGAGTAGTTTATTAGAGCAAATTTCTAGAAGCAGAATTTCTGGCTCAAAGGGCATATATATTTTTAAGGCATAAATTCAGTACTAAAAGTACTTTAAACTGGGTTTGGTGGTACATGTCTGTAATTCCAGCACTTTGAAGACTGAGGCAGGAGGATTGAGAGTTCAAGGCTAGCCTAGTCTTCATAGCAAGACCCTGTCTCAAAAAAACAAAGCAAAACAAACAAAAAGTCCCAAAGAACTTTAATCAGTTTTTAGTCTCTTTTCAAGGCATGAAAAATTGCATGGTAGTTATAAATGTTTAAAAAGAATGCTCACAGGATAAAAATTTCTCTAGGTCCTTCAAATCGCTCCAATTCAGTGTCCTCTCTAGACCTGGAAGGAGAGTCTGTGTCAGAGCTAGGGGCAGGGCCTTCTGGAAGTAATGGAGTTGAAGCCCTGCAGCTGTTGGAACATGAGCAAGGTAAACTTGAATGCAGCTGTGCAAGTACCAAAGAATTTATTTTATTGCAATATAAGCAACAGGTTTGCATGTAAGTTGCCTGTGTTGAGTAAGAATATTTTTAGGTTGGTTATATAATGACCATTAAACTTGCATTTAATCATAGTTCCTTAAGTTCTAAAAAAGGTGTTTGATAAGTGAATTGTTTAGGTTTAAATTGCATACAATGGTATGGATTACTTTAAATTCTGTAATATTTGGTATCTTAACTCTGTGACATTGAAGAGATACAATGATAGTCAGGGCTCAAGGACTTAGAATAGGGAAAGAATGGTATGCAAATAATTAAAAGTGTTTTGGCAGTTCTGAGTGGAGATAGATGTGGTTAGAAGTATGATAGAAAGCCTATTTGAAAAAAATGCTAGCCTGAAAGCCTGTGACTTTGCATCAGCAGAAGTTGGAGCTAGGTCATTCTAAGTGAAAGACTAGTACAAACAAGTAAAAGAAGTGGGAAACCATAGTACTTACTTGGGTATCAGTAAGGAAGTAGGGTGAGGCAAGAATTGAAAAGTGGGTAGATCCTTATTGTGGACAGAAGGAAGTCTGTACTTTAGTAGCAAGTCAGAAGCTGTTTAAAGTTTTTAGTTAATGAGGATAAAGGTTGACAGTGATCTTCTTGTGCTTTAGGAAGATTAATTTGAAAACATTTTCTTGTATTTGTTTAAAGATCTCAAGTTTGGGACAGATACCTTCAACTGGGTTTGAGACAGCGATTCCTAGAAATTAGAGTATATAAGAATTAACTGGGAAACTTTTTAAAACTTTCATTTCCCAAGTCACACTTCTAGAAATCCTGGTTCAGTCCATTTTTAGAAAGCAAAAGAATATTGCCATTGGAGTATGTATAGCTTGAATAAAAGTATTTTATTGGATTGGTTTATCAGTATAAAATTAGAATTAAGTTCACTACAAATAACATAGAAACTTAAAATAATACTAACTTATGACAGAAATTAAATGACTATTACCTCTTTTACAAGCCTTCTGGGTGATTCCAGTGTAGGTGGTTGGCAGTCTACATTTTGTGAAATGCTAAGTTAAGTGAGTTGAGGGCTGGGGTATGGCTGAAGTGGTAGAGCACCTGTCTAGAAAGCATGAGACCCTAATTTCAAACTCAGTACTGCCTTCCTCCCCCACCCTCCAAAAATAAAGTGAGTTGAGAACCAGGCATGATGATGCATGCCTGTGATCTTAGCACTTGAGAGGCTGAGGCAGGGTTCACAAGTCAGAGGCCAGCCTGGGCTACATAATAAGACCTTGTCTCAAAAAAACAAAATAGGTAAATAAAATCCACAAGCGAGTTGACATGAGGTCTTAGTTTTGATGTCCAGCAGCAAACAAAAGCAAAAACTACAATAACAGCAACAAAACGTGAATTGAAGGAAATTGATCCAGGGAGGAATGAAAACTCTAGAATGTAGACTAGAATTGTCTATGTAAATTAGAAAACATTTTTAGTATGAGTTTATCAGCTAATTTTTAGCACAATAGTGTAATAAATTACCCCAGTACATTTATTTTTGCCCTTCTCATTGGATTGGTCTCACTCATGCATCTAAAAATCACTGGTGGTTAGGTGAGGATCTTGCTAATTAATCTTAGCTGAGTTTCAGTTGGTTGTTCACTGGGGAGCAGGTTCAGCTAGATTTAAGATGGAACTACATGCTTAGTAATGATAAAATATGTAACTTGAAAATCAAAGACATAGAGTTCTATAAAGTTGATTAAAAAGTTGTAGCTGTGCCACCATATTTAAAGTACTTAATTTTGTTTTTGGTAGCTACAACACAAGATAATCTTGATGATAAGCTAAGGAAGTTTGAGATACGTGACATGATGGGTCTAACAGATGATAGAGACATATCAGAAACAGTGAGTGAGACCTGGAGTACAGATGTCTTGGGAAGTGATTTTGACCCTAACATCGATGAAGATCGCTTACAAGAAATTGCAGGTAACTGGAATTCATTGTCTCTGGAAGATAGTTGTTCATTTATCTATATCCATTCTTCATGGGAGGAATGTTAATGCTCTGACAGTGAAGGGCTATGTGGATGAGCACTGACTGGGAAACTGATAACTGTATGGAGTAAGACATTTGGATACTTCTTTTCTTCTAAATATGTGTGTGTGTGTGTGTGTGTGTGTGTGTGTGTACACTTTTCCCCTTCTGTATTTAATCCTCTCTACTTCCTCCTCCCTCCACTTAAATCAAGGAGAAAAATCTATTTAGCTTCTTATCAAGTCTTTTTTTAGGGCATAGTATGTGTTCTTAACATATAATTAGAATGTTCCCCTTTTGAGACTAAACATCTCACCTTAAGTTGAAAGGTCTTACAGATTATAGCCATAAAATCCTTTGGAATAATATAATACTGAAGTTTTCTAAAATGAAGGCTGGGAATGTAACTCAGTGATAGAGCACTTGCTTAGCATGTGTGAAGCCTTGGGTTCTACCCCCAGCACCACCAAAAATCCCAAAAATCAAAAAAATGAATTTACTTCTGAAAGGATTAATTCCATTTCAAAGTAACCATTTTTTCTTCTTTTTTTAGTGTCAGGTTTACTGAGGTACAATTAGAGTTCACTCTCTTTAGGATTCTGTTGTATGAGTTCTGAAAGATTCATAAATCTTATAATTGCCGTATTTTTTTTCTTTTGGAGTCATGGAAATTTTCAAACAATTGTGAGAATGCTAGGAACTCACCGTACCTGTCATTGAGCCTCAACAGCTAAATACAAACGGCCAGTTTTGTTTCTTCTGTTCTCCCACCCACCATCCCTCGCTCTCCTACCCCATCATGTTTAGGCAAGTTCCAGGCATTCTTTATTTGTAATTTCTTATGGTAACTTTTAAAAAGGTACCTTTTTGAGAAGGTAACTTTTTACTGGTAACTTTTTTCTAAAACTTTTTTATGTGCTAAAATAGAAGTAGGTTTAATTAAAAGTAGCAGAGCATTTTCATCCTTAGCATTTTTAACACAGGCACGCAGTGTTTAGTTCTTTCTAGTTGTGTTTTTAAGTAGTGTGAACAGATTTCTTAATTGTTTTTGTATTACTTTGTTCCAGATGCGAAAGTAGTATTGTTGTTGGCAATCAGCTGTATTTGAGCAGTAAGCTGTATTGAGTGCTATAAAGATGTGTTTTCTTACAAATATATTTTATTGCTTAGAATATGTGACTAATGTGTCAGAAGAAAACATATTTGGCCAGTCTAAATTTCAGTGGTTAAATCTGAGTGTTTGTAATCCCTGTAGAATTATAAATTTCACAAAGATATTGAGGAATTGAGGACACATATAAAATTTGCTGAAAAACCATGGTGAAACCTGGTTGAAATAACTTGATGTAAAGATGTGTTTGCTGTGGAGGGTCAAAGGTGAGCGAGCAGGAGGAACTTGATGGAAGGGAAGTTTGGGCCTTTGTGGCCAAAGTGAGAACTTTGTGTTTTAATGTTCTTAAATGTTGTGCTCAATTCTTACTTCTTTCTTGTGGGTACTGAAAAGATTTTGTTAGCTTAGTAGTTGGCCTTCCTCCACTCTCACTGTTCTGTTCATCAGATCTTTGTAATGCTTTGCTCCCCATTGGTTATGCAGGTGCAGCAGCAGAGAACATGCTAGGCAGTTTGCTGTGCCTCCCAGGTTCAGGCTCAGTGCTTCTTGACCCCTGCACTGGTTCTACCATATCAGAGACAACAAGTGAAGCTTGGAGTGTAGAGGTATTACCAAGTGACTCAGGTTAGTATGCTGTCATTGTTTGCTTTTTCAGTTGTGCAGAACTTTTAGTGTAATGTATCCTTACCTTTAAGGTAAGGTATCATTTATATTAGGTATATCTTGTCAAATACACTTTTTTGTTGTTTTTTTTATTTGTTTTGTTCTGTTTTTGAGACAGGATCTTGCTGTGTAGTTCAGGCTAACCTTAAACTCACAATCTTCCTGCCTCATCCTCTGGAGTGCTAGGATTACAGGCATGCACCACCACAATGTCCAGGTCAAATACACATTTAACAAGTGTGAGGGAATCACATCACTAAGAATTTCAGGTGGAAAATTATAGCATTTTATGTCCTTTGAGAAAAAAATTCAGAATAGAAGAGCATAAGCTAAGATGGCAGGTGAATTTTGACAGTGTTCATTTGTTCTGCAACAATTGTTTATAACCCATCAGTGTTCTGTGTGGGTCATTGAGATTAGCATCTCCTGCCAACTCAGCCCAAGATAGGAGTAGCAACACGGCTCAGACCCTGAGCAGTTGACTTCCTGGCAAGCATAGCTAGGTTTATCCCAGAGGAGAACTTGGCTCTCCATTAATAATGTGGTTTTGAAGTACACTGAAATTGATACTTTGTGGGAAGTGGAGGCAGGAGAATTGTGAGTTCAAGACCAGCCAGGGCAAAGTTAGTAAGACTTATCTCAAAAACTATATACATACATAAAAAGAAAAAACCAAAAGGGCTGGGAGCGTAGCTCAAGTGGTAGAGCACTTGCTGGGCCCGGGGATTAATCCCTAGTATGTATGTATGTATATATGTATGTATGTATGTTTGTATGAATGAACAAACAAATGAATGAATAGAAATTGAGACACTCTAGTCCTAAGGATTCTTCTCTCTAGGGTTACTATAAATATGTATAAAGTATTTTGTACTTTTCTTTCTTATGTATTGTATTTCTACTCTTCTGTTTATAAAGACAGATCTTTGCCTTTAACTAGATGTCACTGGCAGAGTGGCTCAAATTGTAGAGCTCCCTGCCTAGCAAGTATGAGAACCTGAGTTCAAACCCCAGTACCACAGGGGAAAAAAAAAAAAAAGTAAATGGTAGATTCTGTCTGATTTACTTCGTTTAAGAATAAATTTAAACAAGCTGGGGGTGGTGGTGCATGCTTGTAATCCCAGATGTGCAAGAAGCAGAGGTAGGATTGCAGTCCAGTGCCCCAGGCTGAAGGCATGGCTGAAGTGGTAGAATGCTTGCCTAACAAGCTCAGGACCCCAAATTCAAACTAATAACCCCCTCAAACAAAAAGAAATTCAGTGATTCTGAAGTGTGTTTTATAATACTGTATTAACTGTATCTGAAGACAAGTGATGGGCAGTAGAATTCGCCTACCATCAACTGAATGTCCATGTGCGTTCTGTTTTAGGAAGTGGATGATTTGATGCTAAGCTGTTCCACATTCTCTTGTCCAGTTTACATGTCAGCCAGCTGTATACATTATGAGATTGGTGTTCTAGAAACAGTTGTCATCTGGCTTATCTTGGGACAAAATCACACCTTAAATTCTTTAACACTTGCTCTAACTAGCTTTTCTTACTGGCCTTAACTTAGAAATGGATTTATACTGATTTTATTCATACTCTAACAACTTTGTATACATGGTTCACAAAAGCTGAAATCATGGCATGCTAACAGAATGACTAAATGACTCCTGTCTTCGGTTTAGAAGCCCCAGACTTAAAGCAGGAAGAGCGTCTACAAGAACTGGAGAGCTGTTCTGGACTGGGCAGTACATCTGATGATACAGATGTCAGGGAGGTCAGTTCCCGCCCCAGCACACCAGGCCTCAGTGTTGTGTCCGGTATGTCTGTCTTGTTTTAAGGAATAGGAATTTGAAGGTGTTCTCCTCCTTCCCATTTATAAAATTGATGACAAAGAGATATGTTTTATTTAAGAGTCACAGTTTCCAGGGAAGAAGATTATTTCTACGGCACCTTAAATCTTTGAGAATTTAGCATAGTTTTTATAGCCTATTGAAGTAATTGGTAAACAGTACCTGTACAACTCTATTCTTCTTCTTTTTTTTTTTTTTGGAGTGCTATTTCTATATTCTAGATAAAGATGAGGAGAGGGAAAAGGCAGGTAGCTGGAGAGAAAAAGATGGTAGTTAGGGTAACATGTTGCTCCAAGGAGGCAGCAGGGCCTGAGCTCCTTCTGAGAGTGGAAACAATTCCGACAAAACAATATTTTGGGAAACTGTGAGAAGTGGATAAGCAATCTACCTTTCCCTCCTCTTTGCTCTCAACCCCACTATCTCTGGTGCGGAAGAACCTTTTACGCCCAGACACTGATTCAAAGGACGCTCTTCACATCCACTACCAGGCTAGGGAAGGCAGGGCTGGTAAAGATACCACTGCTACAGGTAAGGGGGCCTGTAAGTCTTAACAGTTACACATCCTTACCATTGGCCAGCATGTTGTTAAACCCCAGCTACCGAAAGCAGTGGCTTTTGGTTGGGGTGCAGCAAAACTCTATTCTTGATAGCCTCTGCTATAGTACTTAGATACTATATGATGATTCTAATTATGTCATATAAAGCAAGGTAGGTATGTTTGAACAATAGTATAATAAAGAATATAGTACTCAGCAGTTTGCATGTACATAGCTAGAACATAAAACTTAAGAACCTGAGAATTTCTCCAAACTTCATATACTTTTTGTGTGGCAACTTTGTTGTTCTTCCCATTTATTATTTCGGGTTTTTTTTTTTTGTTGTTGTTGTTTTTTTTAAAGGAATAAGTGCAACCTCTGAGGATATTCCCAATAAGATTGAAGACCTGCGATCTGAGTGCAGCTCTGATTTTGGGGGTAAAGATTCTGTCACTAGTCCAGACATGGATGAAATAACCCATGGTAAGAAAGGGAAATAGAATGACTTCCAAAAATGTTCACATCCATGGTTGAAACTGGTACTCTTTTTTTGTGTGTGTGTGTGAGACAGGGGTTTGAACTCAGGGCTTCCTGCTTGCAAAGTAGGCTTTCTACTGCTTGAGCCACACCTCTAGTCCATTTTTTGCTTAGCACTGGGGATGCAGAAGCAGGAGAATCACAAGGTCCAGGCCAAAAGGCCACCTTGAGGTGTGTGGTAAGATCCCATCCCAAAAAATCAAAACAAAAACAAACTACTCATCAGGATTTGGTAGAATATCAAAGAAGAATATTCATAATTTTCTGCAGACTGTTAATCTATCATCCTAGCCCGGGAGCATAGCTCCATGCTGGAGCTCCTGAGTAGCACGTGCAGGGTCCTGAACTTGATCCCCAGCCCTGGGAAATGTGATGAAAATGCCACACACACTTGAGTCTTTTCTTTATATGCCACAACTAAAACAATATACTGCAGCACATCAAAAGCAAGAACAGAAATGAGAATCCTGCTGCATCTGTTAAACTATACACTGAAGAATGTCGTAAACATGGTAAACCATGGGCTGGCAGAATGGCTCTAGTGGTAGAGCGCCTGCCTAGCAAGTGTGAGACCCTGAGTTCAAACCCCAGTACCAAAGAAAAAAATGGTAAACCATGCCACTCTTCTCATTTTTATTTTGGAAAATAAGGTTACTTTTCACTTTTAAAGGTTATTGATATTACCACTTAATGAATGTATTTAAATGAATTCTTTTTAGGTTTTATTTTTTATTTATTTTATTTTATTGAGGTAGGATTTCACTATGTACCCAGGCTGGCCTCAAACTTGTAATCCTCTTGCCTCTACTTCCCAAGTGCTGGTATTATAGGTGTGTACCACCACACTCAGTTTCTTTTCAGTTTTTATTTCAACAGATAAAACAACATAAAGGCCCTTAAGAGTGTGAAGGAGTCCTGAGACCAAATTTTTGAGAATCACTGTCCTTAGCTGTCTTTCTCATGACATAAATACAAATTTTAGAACAAAAAGAAAACCAAAAACCTTAATGGTACTATCATTTATAATTTAAAAAAAAAAAAGCTTCAGGATCAGGCATGGTAGTACATGCCTATAATCCCAGCTATTCAGGAGGTGGGGTAGGAGTATTGCAGTCCGAGGCCAGTTATTATAAAATAAACTGAAAAGTACTAAAGGCATGGCTCAAGTGGCAGGTCACTTGCTAAGCAAATGTGGAGCCTGAGTTCAATCCCACAGAAAAAAAAAGGAAAAGAAAATACATACATATATAAAGCTTCAGACTAAGAGTTTAGTTCAATAGTTTCTTTATATTTGAAAGTTTTAGCCTCTGTGTTACTTAGCTATTTTAATATTTCTGATTTTGTTTGTTTGGTGATTAGCTTAGGGGAATCATCTTTTGCTGTGCAGCCAAAGTTAAAGAGTTTATTTCATGGTGCAGTGCAGTATTCATTTATCTCATAAGTTCTTTTTTTAAACTAAGTTGTTTGCTGAAACCATTGTTAGAATTTCAAGTTTAACAATTCTTTATTTATACTTCTTCTGTTAATAGTATGAGACTGATGAGGTGAGTCTCATGGAGGCTGCAACATTCTGAAAAATGTGATCTTTGTAGGTCCTCTGAGTCTGTGCTCTTTGGATTAACTGTAAGAGCCTTTGGTCATCAGGCATAATAGATAGGCATATGGATGCTAGACCCATTAAATGTAGTGGAAATCCACATGTAATATAAAATGGGAAATTAATTTCAAAAAATGGAATTTGATATTTAATAGTTTTATATTTGTCTGGTGTGCCCCTCAAGTTCTAACTGATGACAAAAAGGAAAACTGTCAGAACACTTGAAGCCTTTTCTGTTTGCATTCTGAATTGGTCTTAGTTTGCCCTCTTGTTTTAGGCGCCCACCAACTGACCTCTCCTCCTTCCCAATCAGAATCTTTGCTTGCCATGTTTGATCCACTCTCTTCACATGAAGGTAAGCTAGTAAAATGAACCTTTGGACTTTTGTCATAAATAGAAACAAGAAACTAAGCCCTTTGTTAATGCCTTTGTTGGATCAGTTGTATTTTGGCTGCAAAGCTTCTTTTCTGTGTTATAGGGGCTTCTGCTGTGGTAAGGCCAAAGGTTCACTATGCCAGGCCATCACATCCACCACCAGATCCTCCAATCCTGGAAGGAGCAGTGGGAGGAAATGAAGCCAGGTTGCCCAATTTTGGTTCCCACATTTTAACTCCAGCTGAAATGGAGGCATTCAGGCAAAGGCATTCCTACCCTGAGAGACTTGTTCGCAGCAGGAGTTCTGATATAGTATCTTCTGTCCGACGGCCCATGAGTGACCCCAGCTGGAACCGACGTCCAGGGAATGAAGAGCGAGAACTCCCTCCAGCCGCAGCCATTGGTGCTAGTTCTTTGGTGGCTGCACCTCACTCATCATCCTCGTCCCCGAGTAAGGACTCCTCAAGAGGAGAGGTATGGGACACAGCCATGTGGAATGTACTCATTTTGTCAGCTGAGTGTTCTGTCTGCAGACTTTCTTGAAGTCTGAAGGGAGCATGGGCTGTGGAAACAGGATTAAGGATGATCTGTCAGTCCAGTATTCTCACCACCATAACCGCGGGAAACCCGAATGCTGCCTTGTATCTTACAACACTTAACATCTTCTCCAAGCAATTTATATCTGATTTCATTTAAAACTCATAGTATCTCTCTGAGGTGGCTAGGTAGGGTGTTATTTTTAACTTATTTTTAATTTTAAAACAGTCATAAAGTTCTAATAATGATGGAAGTACAATGGAAAAACACTTCTTCCCCATAGGAGAGTGAGTCACCAGTCTGGTGCTGTCTTCTCTCACCTCTCAAAACTTGAGCGTAAGATTCTTACAAGCAAGCGCATTCTCCTATACAGCACTGAGCAGCTGTCATCATTAGAAAATGAGCTCTGATACATTACTACCATCTAATTCTCACTCCCTGTTTATGTGTTCCCAGTTGCCTCTGTAACGTTCTTCATAATAAAATGACCCCACTCAGAATCACATGTTGCTTTTAGTTCTCATGTGTGTTTAGTTTCTCAATCTAGAACAGTTCAGTTTTTCCTTTGACTTTTATGACTTTGACTCTTAAAAATTACAAGCCATTTGTTTTCTGTAATACCTCTCAGTTTGGATTTGTTTGATGTTTTCTCATGATTAGATTTAGGTTATTTATCTCTGACAGGCCTATCACTACAGTGATACTGTATTCTTTTCATTGCATTCTATCATATAATACACAGTTTTAATTTGTCCCATCACTATGGTGTTCATTTGGACCATTTGATGAAGGTGTTGTCTGCCAGGATTTACCACTGCAAAAGTACTCTTTTTTTCCCTTTGTAATTGATAAGTATTTTATGGGGAGGTAATATCTGTTAATCATATCTGTGGTTTTGTAGTGTTCTTTTTTAGTTAGTGAGTTTGTTACTGTCATTTATTGTTCCTGATTTGGCCAGTGGGCTCTCCAACAAGCTAGTTCTGTGTTCTTTTGACATGCCTCTACCATTCTTTGGGCATTTCTTTTCTTTCTGGCACAAGATGTCACGAGCTTAAGTTGCATTCTCTGCTCTAGTCCTGGAATCAGCTATTTTCTTCAGGAGCTGAAAATAGTGAAAAATAGTTTTAAGAAACTGAGGTGCATGAGCACTCATTGCTGTACTGGTGTTGTTGCTCCTGGGATATCTCAGTGAACAGAGCTAGAGTGTGCATATCCTAGGCTAGCCTAGAACTCCCCACATAGCCAAGGTTGGCCTTGAACTCACAATCTTCTTGCCTTAACTTCCCCAGTGCTGGAATTACAGGAGTGTACCACCATGCCCAGCTCTCTATATCTTTCTCTATATAGAGAGAACCATTTGTTCACATTGTTGAACTAGTTCCAGTCTAGAAACAACAGTTTAGTCTTTCTCCCTTTCCCATACTTGTAAGTCCTTTCTCCAAGTGAGAAACTTGCCTTTATTATTCCTTTGAGAAGTTTGCCTGCAGGTTATCAATTTCCTATCCCTACTGCTAATTCCTCCCTGCCACAGAAGCCCTCATCTCTGTCCTTGTGATCTGATTCTCCATTAACATGGATGCACTTGGAGAAACTATTTTTAATCCCAGTTTTGCAGATGGAAAAAATGAAAATTAAGGGATTTGTTTGATGTCACATGATAAAGCTAACGAATTATAGACCCTGTCTCTGGTGAAACCTTGACTTTGAAGTTTTCAGGTCTGGGTTTGACTTTAGCACTGCGACACAAACTGTGTAACTGGGAAGGTAGGGAGGCAGCCTTACTGAGTTTCTTATTTCTTATCTATAAAGAACTTAATAATAGGCCTCTCTCCTAACGAGGGCTGCTGTGAGGATTAAATGAGACAATATATATCCTTATGCTTTGCGTTTGTTGTACAGTCCACCCTTAGTTTTACTATTGTTACTACTGCTACCATCTCTGCTACTCCTCAAGCGTTTATTTATGCTGCATTTGCTTAATAACGTTTGTGTTTTTGTTGTTGTTGTTGTTTTCATTTGTGGTGCTGGGGATCAAATTCAGAACCTCACACTTGCTAAGCATTTTCTCTACTGCTGAGCTCCATCCTCAACCCCTCCGTAGGTAGTTTTTGAGTGTCTACTGTACAACATGCTCTGTAATTGAGCTTTTGGTTTACTAACCCAAGTAAGTAATGAGAGAGTGCTTCATTCAGCAGATCATAGTCTAATGCTTGAAAGGTACACGTCCATGTTTCAGAAGATGATAGTCACATAGCAATAAGAACAGTTCTGCAAACTTGGGATGTGGCCCAGTGGTAGAGTGCTTGCCTACTAGGTTTTTGATCACTAGCCCTACCCCCACTCCCCCCCAGAAAAAAACTTTTGCTTTAAGGCAAATAGGACTGGTTTTTATATTTCATAGATTTACTGAACTCCTGTTCATAGCAATTAATCCTGCTGCTCAACTCCAAATAAAGTATCAAATTTTTTCTACAGACTGAAGAACGCAAAGATAGTGATGATGAGAAATCAGACAGGAACAGACCTTGGTGGAGAAAACGTTTTGTTTCAGCCATGCCTAAAGGTAATTTTATAAAAATTCAGAATGTTGTCTTAGTAAGAAGAAGCAAAGCCCCAAATCTCTTTCGGAAAGGCAGTTTCTCAACTCCTCTGTGAGGCTTGCTGGGCATGTTTTGAGAGTATAGAAAACGATTTCACTCAGAAGAAGGCTAAGGTGGAGCTTTGGGAATGTTCTTTGCAGGAAGTAGTAGTGGTTTCATAAGTGGAAGTTATGCTGGTCACTGTTGTTTAAACATTATCACAGTTAGTCAGGACTTTTTGACATACATGTTATTCCTATATTGATTGCAGGAAGAATGAGATGCTATTGGTAATTCAACATTGAAAATTTATCCTTTATATTATGTCTGTGTTTATTGAAAAATGTTTATACCCTTCATATCAGTGTCTATTTTGGAAGGTATAAAATTGTTTGGTTTTTTGTTAACTAGCCTGGCATCATTTGAGTTGGCAAAAGCCTCTCTTCCTGAAAGGAGAGGGAGCTAGGGACCAAAAACTAAGGACCCTCTTCCACAGGCCCAATGTGGCACTCAGGAGCTCAGGAGAGCTGCTTCTATGCCATACTCAAACCCACTTGATGGGCAGGGGCAAATGAGGCAGGAATTTTGAATGTGCTGCTTTTGACAAGAGGTTAAGAGGATTTAGTCCCAGTGGATCCCAGTTAAATCATTCTTGCAGGTGACTCCAAAGCATATTCTAAAAGCTTCTGTAAAGCCTTCAGTGTTATTGAAAAAATAATTATCAGTTGACACTGGGGATTTCTTAGCTTTTAAACTTTTCAACCTCCTTGCACTTAGAAATGTTGGCACACCAGTTAACTTCCGAGGAGTGCAGTATGTTATATGTCACACTACTGACTTTATTTAATTTCCAGCTCCTATACCATTTAGAAAGAAAGAAAAACAAGAAAAAGACAAAGATGATCTGGGGCCTGACAGATTCTCAGCACTTACAGGTTTGTAGACCCATGGGCTTCCTGGCTCCTTCATTCCTAGAGCACATATTTCATAACACTTTCTCTTGGGTGCCATAAGCGTTGCCTTTTGAGAAGAATGTGTCTGTGTATGTATGGTGGGGAGTATGTTATTCATAGCTCTGTGGTTTCCAGTTAGTGGTCACAGTGAATCTCAGTATGCTCTTTCTACAGACCACCACCGCCATCTTCATCCTCATTATCATAACTCCCTTTATGATGAGGTCCCTGATCTGTAAGCCTCTAGGCATACCCTACAGCTTGCCATCTAGTGGGATGATGCCATGCTACCTTGTAGGAGAGAGTGGTGACGGTTCTAGTGCTCTGCATGCCATATCTTTGGGATCATTGATTGACTAGTTTCTCTAACATTGATCACAGAATTCTAAATTTATTCCCCTTTATACTTTGTTCTTGTTTATTCAAATTACAATGAAATTCTGGTTAACCTAATTATTTCCTTTCTTTTCATGATGAAGTATTTGTTCAAACAATATCATAAATGCCAACCATTTAATAAAAGTTTAAAAACTTCACTAATTTTTTACAGCTTGAACCATTGTAACATTGCTGTCTGACCCAGGGAAAATGCAAGTAGGAATTAGGTTCTTCCTTATTCACATTTGTATCTTTGCAGCTTCTCTTGTGGCACATTTTGGTAAAAGGGAGAGTTTGGAAGGTGGTGTTTACAACCTGGCCTTGAGTTTGATAGCCATATGTTATTTCCTAGATACTGTAGAACATCTAGAGGGAAGTCCATTTCTCTTTTTTTTTCTTATTTTGATTTTAAAGTTTGTTATTCTACCATCCTACTGAGTTAAAATGAAGATTTTTAATTTAAAAAATGGAATAAATTTCAAAAGAACATTCTTCCCAAAGAGATCAGCACGGTACAGGTAGCATCTCATTTAAATGCACTTTGCTGTGATGTCTAATTGTATATACTTAAGGGTACATTCATGTCTTAGTTTTATTTGATATGGTGACTTCCCTGTAATAAAGGGTTTTGAACAGCAGATTATATGCATACAGGCCACAGTTCAGTGCTGAAAACAGCCCAGCCTTTCCTGTTAACTTGGCAAATACCTGTTGATCATCTGACTCATGCCAGGCACTGTGCTAAGCATTGTGGATGTCAAGCCAAATAACAGATGGTCTCTGTCAGGATTTTTCAATCTGGTTGGGAAAAGTAGGAAAGACAGTGTCTCTTTGGCAAGGTTATTTTTGTATTCTTTCCATGTTCCCAGTGTTAGAAAAATGCCAATGTATACAAGTTTAATTACTCTGGGTGAAATTGCTTTTGTATTTAAGTTTTAAATTAATGACTTCGAGAAGTTATAAATTATCGAGTCTTTGGGCCATACGTTTTTCTTGATTCTTAGTGCTGAGACTAGAAGCTGAGTAGAGTAACTTTTTCATAATAGAATTCATTTTCTTTGGCTATGATTCAAGCAGTTTAGCTTCCCCAATTCAGTAATTTCCACCCACTGCTAATTAATGAACCATTGAAAGTTATCATTAGATCAATTTTAAAATGTTATAATGGACATTTCTGAATAATCTGACCATTAATGCTGCCACTCTACTATTTTTAGTATTTACCAGTCTTATTCAGTATTACACATTGGTTTTTCATGATTAAATCAGGTTATATATGTAACTGTGTTTTTCTTTTACCATGTATCATTTCATAAACCTCTCCCAATTTCTATTAAACATAGTTGGCTTTTGAATTTTTATTGGCTATAAAATAAATCTATTTGATTCTACTACAGTGTAAATGTTCTCTTACTATTGAGTATTTAATTTTTTTCTCATTTTTTACTAAGAAAATAGTACTCATAGCTTTATATATAGTTTTTTGTTGTTGTTGTTGTTTTCGTTCTAAGGATTGAACCCAGGGCCTCATATATGCTAGGCAAGCACTTACCACTAAGCTATACTCTCAGCCTCTTATACCAGGTTTGTTTTTTTCTTGTTGTTGCTGCTGTTTTGTTATTTTTTTACTTGCATATAATAGTTGTGGGAGGTGGATACATTGTGACATTTACATATGTGCTTATAATATATCTCAATTAAATTTACTGCTCTATAATGCTCCTCATTCTTCCTCCCCCTCTTTCATAGCAGTTTTGTTTTTGTTTTCAGCAGTAAAGGGGTTTAAACTCAGTGCCTCACACTTGCTAGGCAGGTGCTTTACCATTTGGGCCATGCCTCCAGCCCATTTTTGCTTTTATTATTTTTCAGGTAGATCTTGAGTCATGGCCTTCCAAGTAGCTGGGTTTACAGATTGTGTCATCAAGACCATCTTGTTTATTGAGATAGGGATCTCACTAACTTTTTTTGCCAGGGCTGACCTCAAACCATGATCCTCCAGATCTCTGCCACCTCCATATCTGGGATTACAGATGTGAGCCAAACCCACCCAGCTGTTTTTGTTTTCATTTTTTTCCTGGGATGGGGTCAGAGGTTTGGCTCAAGCAATAGAGTCCCTGCCTTGTAAGCATGAATCCCTGAATTTAAACCCCAATAACACCAAAAAACCTCCCAAAAAAACAAAGAAACAAAAAACTACTATTTTCCTGGGATAAATATTTGAAGAATTGCTGGTGGAGTGGCTCAAGTGGTAGAGTGCCTGCCTAGCAAGCATGAGGTCCTGAGTTCGAGCCCCAGTACTGCCCAAAAAAAAAAATTTTTTTTTTTTGAAGAATTATGAATGGTAATAAGCAACATTATGGTTTTTACTGTTTTTCGGCAAAGTATATTTGTCCCTTTTCCTCATAGCACTCAAAAGCTGTAATAAAAAAGAACTCCCCCTTAACAATGGGATTCTGTAATGGCAGAAGTTTTTTTTATCAGTTTACAGTTTGAGAAAGATCAAATTTGATTAGGAACCTCCTATCATGAATTCAAATACTAATATAGGAGAAATAGTAAATTACTTTGGAAATCCTCTGTTTTAATATAATATTGTAGACACGAATACCACATACTTGTTTCATGAATGCAGAAGAAGAGCCTGTTAATAGGCTGCTTCATTTCTCTATGCCTTGATTCTCTCTGCTGTGAAGTGGGGTGACATTAGTATCTTCTTAGAAGGCTGTTTCCTGATGAGTTCAGATAGTCATGTAAGGTACTTACCCAACTCCTGGCATGTGGTAAGTGCCCAGTAAATGTTAGCTGCTGCTTTTGTTAGCTGCTGTTAAAACACAGAGTCTAATGATTTTGATGTGATTTCAGGATTTCTTATAAATGTGATTCTATCAGAATGTAGCTGTGGTTGGTTACCTGTTAGATAGTTCCATCAAAGGAGTTTGTGCTTCACTGTGAAACCTTATTTTCTCCTGTAAACCCACAGCAGTTCTTTTTGTTGACAACGCAGCTAATTAGTGACTACCATTTAGACTCTAGGATAACATTATTATTATTTTAAATTTTTTTCAAAAAAATTTTGTGGTGCTGTATTGAATCCAGGGCCTCATATAAGAGCTCTGCCTCTGAGCTACGTCTGCAGTTCTTGGTTTTGGGTTTTTTTTTTTTTTTTTTTTCTTTTTTTTTTTGAGCCAGGTTCTTGTGACATAGCTCCGACTGCCCTTGAACTTACTATGTAACCCAGGCTAGTCTTGAACTCTGTAACCTCCCATGTACATGTGCATTCCACATACCATTACGCACCCCCTAGAACACCTCGATTCTCTAGGAGTGCCTCTGCCTATTGCATGCACAAAGTGCTGTGTCTCAGCACTCACTGCAGGGTGAGGTCTAGTGATATAGAATATGAGACTCCGTAGCAGTCAGATATGGTGTAGAGAGGGACCTGTGAAGAAAGAATAAAGAATGACATTTTCTCACTGTTATAAAAGGGTTTAAGTCTTAAGGTTGAATAGTTCCTTTTTTACTCCTTTAGCTGAAGTTATTTTATAAAGTTAAGTTTGTATATAAAATTGCATTGTTAGGATTGGGGACTTGGCTGAAGTGGTAGAGCATATGACTGGGAAGTGTGAGGCCCTGAGTTCAAAACCCTGCACCACCAAAAAAAAGGAAAAATAAGAAAAACATTGTTGGGCTGGGAATAGTGGCACATGCCTGGGATCCCAGCACTCAAAAGGTTGAGGCATGAGGATCACATTTTCAAGGCCAGCCTGGGTTACATAGTGGAGACCCTCTCTGCAAAACAAGCATTGTTGGAAATTCTGTTAGTATGATTTGCTAATAACAGTGACTTTAGCATAAAGCACTCTAGGAAACCCGTCATCCATTCAATCTGCACTGAACTTTGACACTGCCATGCAGAATTTTGGTAGTGATGAGAAGGTGAAATGACTCCTCCTAATTTCCTGCTTTGGCAAGGCTCTTAGACCTAAAGTGGCAGCTGCATGGTGCCTTGTAACACTGACATATGTGCTCTTTTTAAGTTCTTACCTCCTAATCCGCCTACGGGATTATGCTACTGGTGTATATACTAACATAAGTGTTGGTGTAAACCCAGGAAGCTAATTTTCTCACTCTCCTTTCCCTGCAGATGAGCCCAGCCCTAGGCTCAGTGCACAGGCTCAGGTTGCTGAGGATATTCTGGACAAGTACCGGAATGCCATTAAACGAACCAGCCCTAGTGAAGGAGCAATGGCAAACTATGAAAGTACAGGTAATAACTGTGATACAGATTTGAACAGTAACCTTTTTATCATAGTGATAAAGGTAATCTGAATTTAAGTAGCTTTTAGAACAAAGAACAGCTAGAGGAATTAGTATAGTCTTTAAAAATTATAGATTTTGTAATTAAGTCAGATTAAATTGATGTCATTTTGGGCACTCTCCCACTAAGCCTGGGCACTCGTGGGGTTCAGATGCCTTCAGGTTGTCATCACCTGAGTCTGGGGTGACTCTCCAGGGGGTTTGGCACATGCATTAGTGGGAGGAGGTTCTTTTTCAATATTTATAGAACTGTGATCTCTTCCGGTTATGTGTTCTCTTTCAATTTTGTGGAGAGACTGTGCATGGAGAGAGAAGAATGTGGTTTGTTTCGTTTTTGGTAGTGCTGAGGTTTGAACTCAGGGCCTCACAACTTGCTGGGCAGGTGCTTTACCACTTGAGCCATCGTTCTCTCAGTGGAGCTGAGGCAGCAGACTCTTACAATAGGTTATCTGTTGTTGCTCAGTACTTATTTTTTAAAGGATTCTGTTTTCCTTGTTGTGGAATGCTAAATAACTGTCAGAAAAATATGGCGGAGTCCTCAAAATAAGTTACAGGGAAGCAAAAGCAATAAGTAGCGTACTTCATATATTTATGTTTGTGTGTATTGAAAAGATCTTCTGGAAGAATCTCTAACTGGCAACATGAGGGGTCTGAGCAGGACTCCTAGGGACCTGAGAGGGAGTGATGGAAGAGGAGAACTACTTCTTTATTTTGAAAAGTTTTTAAATACTAGAAAGGTTAAAGAATATGCAATGAAGGGTCATATGCTCTCTTCCTGGATTTATCAGTTATTAATATTTTGACCTGCTTTATCTCAACATAAGTTTTTCCTTTTAAGGGGAATAAAGGAGAATGATGGAGGAGTTGAATTCAAGTATGATACATTGTAAGAACTTTTGTAAATGTCACAATGTATCCCAGTACAACAAGAAGAAAAAAAGAAAAAAAAAAAAGCTGAAAAAAAAAAGTTTTTCCTTTTTTTTTCTGAAGTATTCGAAATTGTCTCCTACAAGTGAGGCTATTTTCTTACATGAACACAGTATCTTTATTACATCCAGGAACTTTTTATTCTTTTGACTTTATACATGTATGTATTATCTTTTCTTAATTGACTAATTAAAAACATAACAGCTGTGGGAACCACAGATCTAGTCCTTAGCTCACTCTTGCTGGTGGTGGAAGGGCTCTGGTGAAAAGAATCAGGAGATTCAAGGCCTTGGTCCACCTCAGCCATTGACCAACTGAGGAAATTAAGTGAAGGGATGTTCTGACTGGGCAGGAGTCCATGCTTCCAAGATGAGAGTAAAATGGGGTTTGAGGCTTCTAATCTGCAGCTCAATGATTCTGATTACAGAATATTAACTTTAAGTTAATTCAGACTTTCACTGTTTTGGATTGGAATAAGAAATAAAACTGCTGTCTTCTCAATATTTACTCTCCTGATACATTGATAACTTGGTTAAGTGTTAGAAGTTTGTTTTCTTTCTCTCTACTTTTTCTCCCAAAGAACCCTTATTACAGGACAATGCCAACTTATGCTTGCATTGCTCTGAACATCTACTAGTGCCAGAATATTCCACATTAACCTGGTTATCCTTTTCTTGGGGATGGGTTTTATTTAGAGGTCATGGGTGATGGTGAAAGTGCACATGATTCTCCTCGTGATGAAACACTACAACACATCTCAGCTGATGATCTTCCAGACTCTGCAAGCCAGGCAGCCCACCCTCAGGATTCAGCCTTCTCTTATCGGTATTTTATTGATTTATGAGATTTGGGACTTTGGGATGTGGTCTTTTCATCACCATTGCATTGACTTCAAGTCAAATGATTCATTAAGTACTTTAATGTATAAAACAGAGAGGGAAGAATAAAATGCTATTTACTAAGAAGACTTACTTGAGCGTTATGAATGCCATATATCAAAGGCATTAATTCAGAGGTTTACAAAACCTTATATGCCTCCAGGAACCACATAAATCAAATAGGTTGCAATATCTGTCTCTGTAAAGCTGTTGACCTGCATGAGCCACATTGGGGAGGACACAGGTCATTAGGAATCATCTGCAGGGGGACCAACCATGGAGTGCTGAGATTGCCCACTCTCCCAGTAAATCTGCAGGAGGGCTCTTTTTGTTGTCCTCTCCATTCCCTGGGCAGGGCTTGAGAAAGAAAATGACTTCAGGATGCTGAAATTTTTGCCTTTGATAAGGAACAAGGAGCACCTGCTTTAAAATATTGTTACCTGAGCCTGTAATCCTAGCTACTTGGGAGGTGAAGATTGGGAGAATCCTGGTTCCAGGCCAGCTTGAGCAAATAGTTTGCGAGACCCCACCTCCCCATCTCCAAAATAATCAGAGCAAAATGAACTGGAGGTGTGGGTCAAACAGTAGAACGCCTGCTTTGTAAATGCAAAGCCCAGAGTTCAAACCCCAGTATCAACCCCCCCACACACACACACCCCCCACAAAACAGCACCATTACCTGTTATGTACTTATAGAGCTCTTCCTCTCCATCGCTCTCTCAACTTTTTAATTGTAGACTCTTCAGTTACAAAAATAAAGTTATACAACAATTTTCCCATTGTCTAGATTTAGCTGTACCAATGTGACCAATATTATTCTGCATTTACCCCCACATCATTAATTACTTGGCAGCACTGGGGTTGAACCCAGGGCCTTATGCTTTCTAGGCAGGTGCTCTACCACTTGAGCCACGCCTCCAACCTTCCTCCTGATTATTTAAAAGCGAATTCTAAATGACGTTTTATTTATAAATATTTCAAAGCCTCATATTTTTCCTATAATACAATAAAGGGGGTTGCAAGTGGAAGTTTTATTTTCCAGTCACGACTCATTTTTCTAAATGCCTCATGTGACTTTACCATTATATATTTTATAAGATTCTTGACAAAGTGGATGAATACTATTACTCTTTGTATAGGAAAAAATCTAATAGGGAAAGACTCAGAGCTAGTCATGAGGTGGACAAGTGACAGCCTATGAGAAGGTACAATCTCTGACCTTTCTCTAAGTTGTCAGACTCCTTTTTGCAAATGATAGGCTTGAAAATTCTGCAGAAGTTCTGTTTTATGACTCACAGGACCAGAAGGAGCCACAGGTATTAGCAAATAAGAAAACTCAATGGTCCCCATATAGGAAGAGCTGCTTGCTGTGGAGGGCAGCCCCTACTTGAGGAGGCTCCACCCTGGGTGGAAGTAGGTGATTCAGCACTCAGAAATTGAAAAGAATTTGGCTTTAGCCTAACGTGGAAACTCCCAAGCAGGAGAGCAGTCGAAAGAGTTTCTTGTCAGGGGTGAGCTCTTTTGTGTCACAACCAGCATTTTTTGAGATGTGGTAGAAGGCACTCTCAGTTTGGGCTGTAGGGTGGCACTGATAATGTCTGTGTCCCTCCTAACACTGGCATATATGATACATGCTGTCCTGGTTAGTGCCTATTGTAGATCTGAGCTCATGATACAAGATGAGAAAGGATTTGTTCGACTGATTGTAGGGGTACTAGAGAGTGGTCCTTGTCCAAAGCACTATTATTTATTTATTTATTTGTTTATTTACTTTGCAGTACTGCTGGGGTCTTGTACTCAGAGCTTCACACTTGCAAAGCAGGCACTCTACTGCTTGAGCCACACCTACAGGCCTTTTTGCTCTGGTTCTTTTTAAGATAGGATCTTGCTTTTTGCCCAGGCCAGCCTTGACCATGATCTCCTATTTTACACTTCCCAGTGTCGCTGTGATGGCAGATGTACTCCATTGTGAGATGGGGTCTCATGAATTATTTTTTCTGGTTGGCCTACAACTGCGATTATCCCAGCCTCCCAGCCTCCCAGGTAGCTCAGATTACGTGTTAGCCACCAGCACACAGCTCTGGAGCACTCTTATAACCTTGATCCTCAAATAACTAGAAGACTGTTCTTTTAAGAAAAGTGTTACCTTTTTTTAATTTAGTTTTTTTTTTTTCTTTTGGTGGAACTGGGGTTTGAATTCAGGGGTTCATGCTTGCAAAGCAGGCACTCTATCGCTTGAGCCACACCTCTAGTCCAGACTTACCTTTTTTCAAAATGACTGTTTGAGCTGAATGATGGGTGATTCGTGCCTGTAATTCTCGCTACTTGGGAGGTAGAGAGCAGGAGGATCAAAGCCAGCCCAGGCAAATAACTTTGTGAGACCATATCTTGAAACTATCCAACACAAAAAAATGGCTGAAGGAGTGGCTCAAGTGGTAGAGTACTTTCCTATCAAGCTTGAGCCCTTCATTCAAAACCCCAGTACCACCAAAAAAAAATGAAAAATGAAAAAAAAATACCTGTTTGAAACTTTGAGTCCTGAGGTAACGTATTAATTTACATATTAAGCATTCATAAAATGTGGCCAGTTTTCTGGCTGAGGATGTAGCTCGACAATAGAGCATGTACTTAGCATGTGTGAGGCCTTGGGTTTGATCCTCAGTAACAAAAGAAAAAAAAAAAGTGACCAATTCTGGGGTAAAGAAATCAATGTATTCTGTTGTCATTTTTCAGAGATGCAAAAAAGAAACTGAGGCTTGCTCTTTGCTCTGCGGACTCTGTTGCCTTCCCAGTGTTAACACATTCAACAAGGAACGGATTGCCAGACCATACAGACCCTGAAGGCAAGTTGTCACAAGATGGCTTAGTTTTTCCTATGCTTACAGCTTGAACAATACAAAATTGCAGTATTCTGCTGTTAGACTCTACAGAAATTCCATGTGGTTCAACTTAATACATTTATTTTAGGTCACCTATGGGTACTTGACTAATGATTTATTAAAGTATTTTCTAAACAGTAGTGGCAGTGCTGCTTAGTTCTGATAATACATATAGCAGAACTGACATCGGAAATGCTGAGAGGCTAAATGCAGCTTATGTAAGCCCATGGAAGTTCTCAATAATAACAGAATTCTTGTTTTTACATTTAGACAATGAAATTGTGTGCTTCTTAAAAGTTCAGATAGCTGAAGCAATTAATTTACAAGATAAGAACTTAATGGCTCAACTTCAGGAAACAATGCGCTGTGTGTGCCGCTTTGATAACAGGACTTGTAGGAAACTGCTGGCATCCATTGCTGAGGATTACAGGTAATGTACCTAAGCTGTTCAGCTTGTGGGCCTAACTTGCAGCTGCAAGTGTTTTCTTTTGGTCCTTATTTCAGAAATGAATCTAGGCTTACCACAAAGTGTGTAGTTATGTTTACCTGGATATGGATTTCTAAGAACACATTCCAGAAACATGGTTATAAACAAGTAGCTCTTAGTAATAGAGAGGTGCAGTTTTCCTCAGCTTTGCACAAAAGTAGGTGAGGCCAAGGTAACTAGGTTATCACTCTCCTTTTTTAGAGGTGTTAGGAAAGACTCCTTTGGTGAATTGTTACCCTTTTTTGCCTGCCACTCCCTTGCTAATTATTATGGGAGGACTATCACTGCAGCCCAGAGGCTTTGCAGCTCAGGGAAGGAACTCTAATATAAGCAAGTAATTGGTGGGGGTGTTTAATGGCCTAGTGTAAATAATCTGTATTTTATTGCTATTTTTAGTCTTCTGTAGCAGCCAGTTTCCTGTTTAGTATGAGGTCCTACCATCATGGAAACTGTGCTCCTCCATAAAATGGACCAAGTATGGGAAGGGGCTTAGTGACCTTAGTGCTCAGCAGAAACACGCAGACAGGTTCTGTGTCTTGAGCTGGAAGCATGGACAGTGCCCAGGACACTTGTCTTCAGTCTGACATGCCAATCGTAAAACCAAAATCTAGGAAGTCATTTTTTTTTTTTAATTATGATTCTTAAATCTTAAAGTGTTCATTATGTCTACGTGATGGTCTACAAAGCATTTTCCTTTTAGGAAAAGAGCTCCATATATCGCTTACCTCACTCGCTGTCGGCAAGGACTGCAGACCACACAGGCTCACCTGGAAAGGCTCTTGCAGAGGGTTTTGCGGGACAAAGAAGTAGCCAATAGATATTTTACCACTGTGTGTGTGAGATTACTGCTTGAGAGCAAAGAAAAGAAGATCAGGGAATTCATTCAAGGTAATTAAATACCTTTAGAGGAAGTATCTCTTCCACTGTATATTATTGGGAAGACTGGAAAATTTTGTTTTGTTCTGCTTTGCTTTGCTAGTTTGTGTAAGAATTTGTATGCATTAGAAGAGTTCCTTAAATACCCAGTTCTTTTATGGGGTATTTTTTTGTGTGTTGGGGGGAATACTAGGATTTGAACTTGGGGCCTCACACTTGTTAGGTTAGGCATTCTAGAGCTATGCCTCTAGCCCTTTTTCGCTAAGGTCTCATGTTTTTGCCCAGGGCCAGTCTCAGACCATGATCCTTTTCCCTATGGCCTCCCACATGGATTAGATTCAAGATACATACCACCAACCCTGGCTTATATGTTGAAATTGTTACTTGCTGGTGTGAAATGTTGTGGGTTGCTGTGGAGGGTTCTTGCTTTCACAGGCCAGAGAATTGGCTCATCAGGTAGCTGATTGACTCGTGAGACAAGGCTGGTACACAAAGTAAGATTTATTAGAGAGAAAGGAAAGGCTACAGCTAGAGCAGTGCAGCAGAGCACAGAAACCGGTGGCTCCCTGCTTAGGTGAAGGCTTTTTATGGACGCTTAAACTCTGGGTTAGGGTAAGGGTGAGGTAGATTTTTTCCATTGGCTGTGGATTTGTGGGCTCTCTTAGATAAGCTGGTCTGTTTGCCCCTTATTGGGGGAACAACCTTGAGTGCATTCTGTTTATCAGCCCTGTGACAGATGGATGAGACCCTGTATCTCCTCCTCAGGGTGCAAGAATGCAGATTTATAACTCCTCAGGGTGCAGGGCCCATAGTGTTCTCCATGGGGGATGGGATAATCACTCATCTGTCCTTTAGGTTCCCAGACCCAACAAGATGGGGTCCTGCTAACTTTTTTTTTTTTGTCCAGGCTGAACTCAAACCATGATCCCCCTTATCTCTGCCTCCTGAGTAGCTGGGATTACATGAGTGAGCCATCACATCCAGCCTAAAAAACATTAAACTTCAATGTCATATATCTAAATTGCAATTTTCTCTTGAATTAAATATCTGTTTTGTTTGTTTTTGATTTTTTGAGACAGGGTCTCACTATGTAGCATAGGCCGGCCTGGAATGACTATAAGCCCAGGCTAATCTCAAACTCATGATCCTCCTGCTTTAGCCTCCCAGGTGCTGAGATTATAGGTTTGCATCACCACACTTGGCCTGGATCCACACAATTTTTTAAATAATATATATTTTTATTATAAACCCCTTGAACTTAAACATTTACGTATTTTGTACTTTCTTTTCATTTTAATAATTTAGCTACATAGTTTCCTAAAATAAGCTGCACCCAGATACTTTCAGCTTTAAGATCATGGTATCTGCATCATTAGCAATTAAAATGATTTCTATAGATTAGTTCTTATCAGCAGAGGTATGTTCCAAGAACCTTCCCAGTGGATGCCTGAAACTGTGCATAGTCCTGGACTCTAAATAGCATACTGATAACTGAGATGGCTACTGAGTGACTTAAGAGCAGGGAGCACACACAGGGTGGAAACACTGGACACAGGGATGGGTAGAGCAGAGGGTCCTAGATTTCTTCAGGCTACTCAAAACAATGTGCAATTTAAGACTTAGGAATTGTTTTTTCTACAGTTTTCCGTTTAATGGATCACAGGTAACTAACTGAAACTAGGAGACAAAACTGAGGATAAGAGCGGATTTACTGTTATTTTCTTTTTTGGATGATTTATATATTGTATTTTTTAAGTCAATATTTTTCATTGGAGACTTTCAGAAACTCACAGCAGCTGATGACAAAACTGCTCAGGTAGAAGATTTTCTACAGTTCCTTTATGGTGCAATGGCTCAGGATGTCATATGGCAAAATGCCAGTGAAGAACAACTTCAGGATGCTCAGCTGGCCATTGAACGAAGTGTGATGAATCGGATTTTCAAGCTTGCTTTCTACCCTAATCAGGATGGGGACATACTTCGTGACCAGTGAGTGCCTCTGTGTTGGAAGCATGTGTCAGGAAGCAGGCTATACCAGATTAGCTAATGTGGGTTTAGATCTGATTATAAAGGAAAATGTGTCAGTTACTATTTTTCATCCATCAGAGTTACACAATCAAAAAGAATGATAATACCCAGTTCTCAGTGATGTGGGTAATCAGGCTGGAAACAATGAGAATTGATATGGCCTCCCCCTCCACTCCCAGTACTGGGGATTGAAACCAGGGTTTTGAACTTACTAGGCACGTGCTCTGCCACTTGACCCACACCAATAGTCATTTTACTTAGTTTGTTTTTCAGATAGGGTCTCATGCTTTACCTCCGTGAGCCTTGAACAGCAATCCTCTTACCTTCATTTCTTATGCAGCTAGGATTATAGGCATATGTCACCATTCCCAACTTGTTTTTGGAATAGGGTCTCCCTAACTTTTGCCCAAACTGGCCTCAGACTGTGAACCTTCTCTCTCTGTCTCTCAAGTAGCTGGGATTACAGGCATGCACTGCCACCACACCTGTGGTATGGCCTTTTTGAAAGGCACTGCTGTGTTCCCTGCTTGAAATGTTCTTTCATGCCTTCTCTTTGTGATGAATTCTTGCTTATCATTCAGTTGTCAACTCAAGCATCACTTCCTTGGAAACCCTTTCCTAACAAGTTTCAATCCCTACAAGCCTCTCTCAGGCTTCATACCTTTCTTTAGCGCCTGCATGGTTACCATTTGCCATTAGCTTGCATCATGTTTGTCAACCCAACGCTGCTGACGCTTGGTGCAGGAGGCTGCCCTGCAATGGTCGCATGTTTAGTAGGATCCCTGGCTCTATACTCCATGTGCCAGTAATATCCAGCCAGCTGTAACAACTAAAAATGTTCTCAGACATTGCCAAATGTCTCTTACAATGGAAATCCTCCCCTGGTCTTGATCACAGATTTGTGTAATCATCTGATAAGCACTCTCTCCCTAATGGATTGTCCCCTCATGGAAGTAGAAAATAATGCTGTTATTCATCACTTATCACAGTGTCAAGGACAGTCCTTGACTTCCAGTATGTGCCCATTACATACTTATTGGGGGTGAACAGTTGTGCGTTTGATCATCAGCAAACCCCTGGAATTGTATATGGCCTGGCTAAATCTCAGCAAGGCTGTTATAAAAGTGGTCCCAAGGGAAGGGATGCAGCTCAGTGGCAGAGGGCTTGAGTTTAATCCCTCGGACTGCAGCCATTCAGTAGGTAAGTAAGCAAGTAAATAAATAGTAATCCTGAAAACCATCTGCAATACAAACATTGGTTAAGTAATATTCTTCTGAAAAAAGAAAAAAGAGCATTGGTTATTTTAGGGTAATAGGGTGAGATGATTCCACATCTTTGTTCTTCCTCTTCTGTGTTTTCCTGAGCACTGCTCCACAGCCCTGTTTCTGCCCCACATATGCTAAAGTTTGCCACCATGCATCCCAGCAGCAAAAATGGCTTTCTGTGCCCGGTGACTCTCAGAGGTCTGTGTCGTGTAGTAGGATCTCAGGGTTATTAAATAATTCATATACGATTTTTTTTCTTTCTTTTCTCTCTTTTTTTGGCTGACACAGTGGCTTCCAGCTACTTAGGAGGCAAAGATTGGGACGGTTACAGTTCAAGGCCAGCCTGGGTATAAAGTTAGCAAGACCGAATCTCAGTCAATAAGCTAGGCATGGTGGCATGCCTGGGGTCCTAGCTATGCAGGAGGACTGCAGTCTGAGGCTGGCCCCAGGCAAAAACATGACACCCTACCTGAAAAATACCTAAAGCAAAAACGGATTAGAGGCGTGGCTTGAGTGGTAGGTACCTGCCTAGCAAGCGCAAGGACCTGAGTTCACACCCAAGTACTAACCTCCTCCACTCTGCAAAAAATTTTTATTTAGTTTTACAGAGTTTTGGTTTTGGTGGTGTTAGGGATAGAACCCAGGACCTAACATGCTAAGGCAAATGCCATCCTACTGAGCCACACCCCTCAACCCCACAGAAATTTCAAGAGGCTGCACATATATTTGAGAGAATTTGCTTTCCTGTGAAATGGGTTAGGATCACTCCAAACTGCCTCATGTATCCATAGTCTCAGAGGCTGTCAGCCCACACAGGCCTGTTTTCTCTCCAGAGCAACTTTTGGCATCAGGCATGGGATAAGGAGTGGGGACATGGAAGTTGTATTTACCGTAGAACGCAGCTTATTGCTACTCCTTCATGGCATTTCTGCAGGTGTTATGTGTGGTGAGCAAACTCAGTGTCTGAAAACAACACTGAAAGCCAGGAGGCTGGGTTTAGCTCCATGCTGCCGTGGCAACTCCTTCACTTTCTTAATCCTAAATTTTCTTCATCTACAGTGAGGGGTTGGGTGATGCTAGAATCCCCTCTCCATCTGAAAGCTATGATCTTTGGTTTCTGGCTTTTGAGCCTCCCTACATCCTCGCTTTTTTTCTTTTTCCCCACTACTTTTTCTTCTTGGAGTAGTGTGTCCAGGCTAAGGATTCCTCTCGTCTCTGCCTTGGAGCACTGCCCTAGTCCAGGAAAGGAGAGCTTCCCTCCTCTTTCTGCATCCTCTCCCCTCCTGCAGCATTTCTAAGCAAATCCTAAAAATGAAACTTTTTGTTGTCGTTTTTGAGACAGGGTCTCACTTTGTAGTTCAGGCTGTCCTCGAACTTGGAATCCTCCTGCCTCAGCCTCCCACCTAGTGCACATTACAGGTGTGAACTACCATACCCAGTTAAAAATGGGCCTTTTTGACAAGAAAGAATACATATGGCTAAGAGAGACTGTCAGCTGTGATTGTAATCTTTATCTAGAAATGTCTGACATGTTTTAAATGTTTTGAAAAAAATCAATTATGACTATTTATGTACTTTATTTTCTAACATGTATATTTACATTTGTATTTTGGGGGGGCTTTCAGGGTTCTTCATGAACATATCCAGAGATTGTCTAAAGTAGTGACTGCAAACCACAGAGCTCTTCAGATACCAGAGGTAATGAGTTCATGTAGTGTGATGGTTCACTAAAGCTGCCTGGTGTAGCACGTGTGCATATCACCATGTTGTTAAGGAACTGGAGGATGATAATATAGAAATCACCATTTGCACTAGGTGTTCTCGAGTGGAACTGTTGTGTCCACAAAGGTGTTTCTGGGGACAAAGTCCCTGGCACAGAAAGGGACCTCAGTGGAAGAGAAGAGGGAGAACCCAAAGGAGAGCCTTCCCCAGAGCCACTCAGTGCCCAGCCCTGCCAACCCTGCCCTCTTGGGTAAAGCGCTGCCCATACATTCTTACACACTGATTTTTGCACAGCTGTCCCATTTTAAGAAGGGTTTTTGGGACACTAAAGGGGTGAGAACAGCAGCAGAAGAAGAAATCGTCAAATCCCATGTGGCTACAGGTTACATTTTAAGTTTTTTTTCCGGGTGGGGGGGCAGTGTTGAGGTTGGAAAGTTTATTAAGGGAAAGAATGAAAGCTCCCTCAGGAAGGGAGGGTTGCGCTTTTTATTTTTTGATACAAGGTCTCACTATATAGCCCTCAAACTCGAAATCCTCCTGCCTCCACCTCCCAAATATTGGGATTACACGTGTGCACCAGCACACCCAGCACATTTTAGTTACTGATAGTAGTATTTTTACCTGACATATATCTCTCACAAAATAAGAAAACTGGAAAAATGTCTGCTATTTGAACTTTCTGGTTGTTTTTATTAAGTTACCAACATTATAAAACATTAATTAGCAAAATTTAATTTTTCTTTGATTTTTTTCTTAAAGATGTTTCCAGAACTACAAGAAGCGTTCATCCTAATTAAATTATCTTTTCTTAGTAGCTTGTTTGTGCTTTTGGAATCAGCTACTAAATATAAAGAAGTTTCATTCTAACTATTTAAGAAAGATACTGCATGAAATGTTATGAATTCTGTGTTCTGTGTTATTGTGTACCCTTTATTAATGGGTGTCTGGGTTGCTCTGTTTTTAAATGCAGAGCAAATTATGTAAGAGTTTTAAGTAGAAAACTTTAATCCTCTGTGGAAGGGGGAAAAGACCAAGATACGGTTTTACTAAAGAAAGGAAAAGGCAGCCCCCTCACCCTCTGCCTGCTGGAGGGGAAGCTACAGGGGTCATTGCACACAGGTTGCTGTTGGATTCAGGTCTGTGTTGTCTGTGGTCTTGCTCAGGTATATCTCCGGGAAGCACCATGGCCATCTGCACAGTCAGAAATCAGGACAATAAGTGCTTACAAAACCCCCCGGGACAAAGTGCAGTGCGTGCTGAGAATGTGCTCAACCATCATGAACCTCCTGAGCCTGGCCACCGAGGACTCCGTCCCGGGGGCAGATGACTTTGTGCCTGTACTGGTGTTCGTGCTGATAAAGGTGGGCCTTACACTGTCTGTCAAAGACTTCATGTGCCATCCTGAGCAGGGCAGTGTGAGCCATCATGAGTGCTGAGAGCCCTAGGTGCCTTTCGAAGCATGGTACCCAGGAGATGGTGTCTAATGTTAGGATTTGCTCTGTCTACAAGATAGGGCTTTCAAAAAAACGATGTGAGGCCCACTTCCTAGAGGAACATTTTCTTTTCAGCTTTAAAGCAGTGCCTGATGTTTTTGGGTGGGGCTTAGCCTGTGGTCACTGAGTAAGTGAATGAGGCCAGGTTCTCAGCACTGTACTTGTGCTGCCTTCTTTCACAGAGTTCTTCCCAGTGTTTGTTAGATGGACCACTAGGTCCACCAAAGTGGTCCACCAATCATTTCTCCCTTTATTTAACTTCTTATTTTGTAATTGGACCTTTTTTTTTTTTTTTGGTACTGGGTCTTGAACTCAGGGCCTACACCTTGAGCCAGTCTGCCATCCCTTTTTTGTGAAGGGTTTTTCAAGCTAATTTGCCTGGGCTGGGTTTGAACCGTGATCTTCCTGATCTCTGTCTCCGAGTAGCTGGGATTACAGGCATGAGCCGCTGGCACCCAGCTTTATTGCATTTTATTAATTTAAAAAGTATTGACCTTTCTTGTCTTTCTTTGACTCTAAAATTAAAGTTTCTTCATTTTATTTCACACATTTTGTGGGTGGTCGTGCAGTTCAAGTGCACATGGTCCCCAGGTGATGGCGTCTGCCTTGCCTGTGTGTGGCAGTTAATGCAGCCTGGCCATTGATGCCCACAGTATATTTGACATGGTTCTTACCCTTTCTCAGTGTTGCTGATAGTCCTCCAAGTCTTGGCCTGGACTCAGAAACCCAGCACTTTGGTCATCCTCCAGGCTGTCACTCTTCTCTCTTCTCTATGCGATCTGTCTAGTCTCTCTGAAGAGCCAGTTTAAGCTCATTTTAAGAAAAGGGCGTTAGATGGTTCTCCTAACCATTTAACAACCTGTGTCCTTTCTTTCCATGTGATAAAGGTGAAAAAACTGAAGTTTTGTGTTCTCTCTTGCTACAGAGGGCATGTTACCTATTTCAAGTTTTTCTTCCTCAGCTGATTCTACCTAGACTACTAACCAAATGTGACTCAATTTGCCTAAAGCATTTATTTCCTTATCTAACTTTCTGGAGTCCTTGGATGTTGAATAAGAACCACATGGATTAGTTCAGCCTCCTTAGGGATCAGTAAGGTTAGTGACTTGCCAGGATAGAAGGGACTGAATAGTACAACTAGGATTAGAACCAAGCTGCCTTTCCAATACACTGTTGCTACTCGTAGTGATTACTGTTTATGGATTACTTCCCAAAAGCAGTTTGAGGATTATTGTCAAAGCACTGATAACTCTTTGACAGGAAAACATTTGAAGAGCAGGTACTGAGAAAATTCTGGCAGAGAATAGCACTTGAGTAATTGGCTCTTTCTTACTTTCACTTCTCTAGGCAAACCCACCCTGTCTGCTATCCACTGTGCAGTACATCAGTAGCTTCTATGCCAGCTGTCTGTCTGGGGAGGAATCCTACTGGTGGATGCAGTTTACAGCAGCAGTGGAGTTCATTAAAACCATCGATGACCGGAAGTGACCAAGACCCAGGATCACCATGGCGGCAGACTGTTAGGCAAACAGATCTCTAAGAAAATGTAGCAGCTGCTTTGAAGGCTGAAGATTGTTTTTGTATAATATTGTACAGCATTCAGACATTTTAAAACAGATCTTTACTAAACAGATTAATGAGCTAACAAGCAGGTTCTCTTTTCTTTGGGCTCTTTTCCTTTCTGATGTGCATATTTTATTGTCCCTAAGTAGAGAATAGTACTGCAAAAAAGGGACCACATTTTTCAGGTATTTTGAAATATTAAAAAACAGAACAGAGTCTCTTAGGAAATTTCTAGATCTCCATTCATGGATACCCCATTTTAAAAAAGAATAGTACACCTCTTTTAAGATGCTGTCTTCTGTGCATCTACTGGAAGGAAAATAGCAACTGCACTGAGGATTGAAATCGTGGTGCATTTATGGCATTTCCTGTCAATAACACTCGCCTGTGTCAAAGAGCTGAGAAGGAGATGTAAATATAATCTATATTTATATTTGATGTAATATGGACATCTTCAGATTCTAATAAACAAGGAGTATTGCTGATAGTAGGTTGTGACATACCCTCTTGTGAAATGGTTTCCTTGACAAAATTTAAGCTGAGCTTAAAAGCAGAAAACACACAGAAATATTTATTAAAGTATAATACAGTTTATTAAACTCTCTAGGTATAGAGTTTAATGAGGAGTGTGAAAACTCCTGAAGAAGTCACATGGGCATGTCTCGCCATGCAAGTTTGTGATGCTGCACATAGGAGACAGACTTTAACCTACCACAGGCCACACAGGAAGGAACAGTGCACATCTAACCTTATTGTGGCACTTCTCATCTGAAATACTAAGTATGCTGTAGAAACCCAGACAGAGCTCCTTACAAACCTTTAATTGTAATATATTTTTAATGATTATTCACATTGAATGCGCAGACCAGGAATTCAGTGAATGTCATTTTTTAAAAAACTAATTTGTATTGTCTGCTCTAGTCTTACAAGTTTTACTAGTGATAAACTATTTTAATCAACCATACTATTCTTATGGAAAAAAAGTCTATTTTGGCAGGTTTCTGTGCCTTTATTTCCCTCTTCTGAAAAAAATGTATGTGTTTCACTATTGGTTTGCGTTACACACAAACGCTTCACCAGGACTGGGCTTTGGTGGTGTAGGACTGGCCCGGGAGGCGCACCAGAGCTTCAAGGACAGTCTTGCACATAGGCTTTTGCCAACCACTTTCGCTTTGTGTTTCCTAAACATGTCTAGCTTCTTTTATAACAAATGCTGTGGTCCCATACTTTGAGCCCCTGTTGCTGGCAGCATTTCAAGGCATTTTTTAAGGAACCTGTGTCAACCCGCCTTGAGCAGCTGGATACAGAGGCTGGCTGCACCGCTCTGTGAGATCTCTGTCTCAGTGCCAAAAGAAGCTGGGTTTTCTTCATGTCTCCACCTCTTCTTGTTTATTTTAAAATACCAAAACAGTAATTTGCATAGGAGTGTGGAATGTGGTTTCTGCCTTCTAGGAAGAGATCAAAATTAAACTAGTGCTACAAAATGTCCTTTTAAATGTCAGGTCAAGAAATCCATGTACAGAGTTAGGAGTTTCGTGGGCTGTTGCCATCAACCCTTCCTGGGTATTAGAAGTCACATCCCGTTGTAAGTACGCATAAGCTGTGTGACATGACTTCTAAGACCTAGGTAGGAGTCCCTTTACTTCAGCATTTGATTCAATAAATGTTAAGTCAACAGAAGTCTTTAAATACTTGGAATTCATTGTTACGGGATTTAACTTGTAAATCAATGAGATTTCTTTTTCTTTGCAATGGTAGCTAAATATATTCCATGTTATCACTGTGGAAATAAATATGAAGATGTGAATGTTGCACCAGGGTTCTTTTCTGTGGAGGAGAAGGTGGTGGGTCTGGGGTATAGGGCTATCCTGGAGGCAGGAAATGGGGCTCTGCAATGCTCGAGCCAGTGGCGAGTAGAATTTGGCATTGGTGAGTGGAATTTGGCATTGGTGACATCCCGCACTCAGGTGCTGGCAGGAGGCAGGAGGAGGTCAGCAGTAACACTCACTGGCTTGATTTCGTGGTTGATTTCTGAATTTAGGGATTAGTATATACCTAAATTAGTAGACAGTATACCTTGTTATAGCAGCAGTAGTGTGTGAGACAGGAAGTGACTGGATTTGTTTTTAGGAAAGAGGATTAGCTGTTCTTCAAATGTTTCTTACTATACTTCCTTCCACACTTGTTTTACATGAAGGATGAGTGCAAAGTGCAGAGTCACCCTTGGAAAGCAGCCAGTAGCCTCCAGTTTTTAAATAGACATTTCAAAGTCAGTGGATATTAGATGGAGAGATGGTGGCTCTGCTTGCTGATGTCTTACAGAATTCTCTTAAGGAAAAAATCAGTTTGTATTTTCTGTTGATAATTCTTCTGGAAGTAATAGAAATACAGATTGCAGTTATCTTTTCTTCTGAAATTGAACAAAAACCTGGTAAACATTCTGTTTTTTCCATGTTAGGTAAAATCATGGGTGCAATAATTGTTTTCTTTTTTTTTGAAACCTTATGAAAGCCTTTTGACCCAGATAAGTAGCTGTAGTAAGGGAATTAGGCTTTCTGGAAGATTGAAAATAAATTTGATGTGTGGTTTTTCTTTTCCTGTTGTGTCCTGGAAACCTTTGTTTAACATGGACTTTACAACTGTGTATTTGTGAAATACATAAGCAAGAGAACAAAAACCAACTATGCTGTAAGAACCTGTACACAACCACAGGCCAAACCAAGGTACCGTCTTCCTACAGCTTGCTATAGAAATTGCATTTTGGGACAACATAGGTCACTTAGGTGTTTTAAATGTGTGAAGTTTGAAAATGTCTTCTGGTGTGAGTGGGTGTGAAGGAGGTGGCGAGGACACATTTGCTGAGACGTGGGTCACACAGATGTGATGGAAATGTGTAGTTGGCACCCTCCTGGGCCTCCTTAGACTCTTTGGCCTTTCCATTGTGCTTTGTTTCCCCTTTGAAGAAAAGTCTGTTTTCCCCTTTTTAGTTCGAGGTCTAGAGAGTTGGTTCTGTATGCAGCTGCTGTAATGGGGGTAGGGAGTAGAAAGAGTTTTCTAGAAGTTTGGAGCATGTTAGTAAGTGCACTGACAGTGGTGACATATCTGCAATACTTTGAATGCCAGAACGCTTGAGAGCATTGCCAGATTGGTAGCTACTCAGTGATGTTAAGATGTAGGTTACCAAGAAGCATGTGAACAGGAAGAACTTTATCACTCAGGAGGACACTTGGAGAAATGAAGTAGAGCCCGCTGCAGCAGGAAGACCGTGGTTGACTTGCAGAGTTCTGAAGCAGGCATGTCCTGTAACTGAGCTCAGGGGAGGGGAAGGCCGCTCCACCAGGGTGCTGGCAGCTGCATGGCAGGGGCCTTGCCTTAGAGCTCATCATCACTGAGATACCAGCCTGTCTTGTCCACCGTACCTGCCTGTGTGTCACCTCTGTTAAAATAGTACATGGCACCAGGTGCCAGTGCCTCACACCTGTAATGCTGGCTACTCAGGAGGCAGAGATTAGGAGAATTATGGTTCTTAGCCAAACGAGGGAAAAAAAGGGCTGATGGAGTGACTCAAGGTGTAGGTTCTGAGTTCAAACCAGTACTGCAAAAAAAAATAAAATAAGCAGGAGAGCTGGCCTGCCGCTCACTGTGATCCTGCTGTACAGTGTCATTCTGTAAAACTGATGAAAGGGTTGAGGGTAGTTAGCTCCTTCACAGGGCTTTCTGTCCCATCAACTGTTCCGTATTCAGATGCATTTCTAAAATTGTATTTGACTTCTTGACTGTGACCCATGTTCTTTGTGAATTCACTGTCATCTTTTTCAACTGAACATCTAAAGATTAGTATCCCTATGGTACAAGAAGGAAGTAGAATGGCCCAGCAGTCACTAACGAGATAGGGAACAGCTGTTGTTCTAACACACTTCCTAACCAACCCCTGTACACATGTTAGCTCTTCATCAGCCTTAGTCTGCATGCAGAAGAGTTGTCATCTGATCTCAGTAATCTTTTCAGTGGAGACCTCACTCACAGAGCAAGGCTTCCTCTGGAGGCTCCCTCTGGTGGGAAAGCGTTTTTCCCTTTATTCACTGTACTTCATTTAGAAAGAAACTTTGTTCAAAGCTGGCTTAGGGCTTGGTTTTCATTCACACTGTTCAGTATTAAAATGAGTGCTATGACTTTACTAGAGTTGAAACTTTTCTTGCCAACTTGGAGTTCCAGTGTCTCTTGAACTCCTGCTCAACCCTTTAGGTAAATGGCTCTGTAGTTTTTCCCCAAAGGACACTGAGCCAGTGATAGTATTCAGCTGCTGTGATGGTCGGGGAAAGTGAAACCAGGTCTGAAGCCATGTTGACTATAAATGTGTCCCTTACGTGCAGATCTATGTGTTCAGTGAAGAGTGTGTGCTTTGGTCATTTCATTCCAGAAGAGTCCTTTCCACTTGCCACAGGAAGTATAATATAGTTCACAGACTTTTTAAAACATTAACCAAACAGCCATACTGGCTGCAAAATCTCTGGTTGAGGGAATCCAGAAAATACCTTCCACATTTCACGCTGAAATAGGAAAAGCTGTCAGTTTCACATCATTGGAACTGTTGTAGGCAACATGAAAACCATGGTAATCTTATTTCTGACCAAAAACATGACATTTTATGCTCCCATGGAGAGCATTCCAATGCAATTGTTAAAAGTAGATCAGTTTCCCTTTAGCTTTCCTTAGCCTTCCTAATTTGTAGTTTTGACAAAATGTTTACAAGCAGGGCGGTTGATAGACATAGCTGCTGAGAGATTTGGGTGATTCACACAAGGGAGCTGAACTGGCCCGCCCTGACCAAGTGAGGTATAATTTGGGGGTGGGGGGCACCCAGGAACGTACACGTTTTTTAAGTGCTCTTGGGAACTCCGAAGTGTGTTTCCCACACTTCCCTGTTGAGACCCCTGGTCTTACTGGAACCTGAAGAATTGTCTCTTGAACCTGCACACGGTTTTTTCCACATCCATGATCACAGGGTTTCCATACCTAGGAATAGCCAAGTCTGATCAGGCTCTGCTTCTGCCTAGAAGCATCTCTTTTCTACTTGGTCCAGCCAGCCTTTAGCCAATGCCTCCCTCTTCCCCTCCAGCTCCATTCCAGCCCCAGGCATGCTTTGCCTGCCTCCATGCCTTGGCTCATCTCTCTGATTGGTGACCTCCCACAACCACCCTTCTGCTCCCAGAGGCCCTTCCTGGAAGGCCCAGGGAACCCTCTCCCCGTCTCTCTAGTGAGCCCTGCCCGCCCCCCGCCCCTGCCCAAGCACACCGTCCCTCTAGCCAGCAGAGATCTACCTGGAGTCTGCTCACTTGTGTGAGGTATTTACAGGTGGGATGGGGAGGGGCAGGCAAGACTCCTCAGTGTGGAGATTCCACTATGATCTTTTCCTTCTAAAGTCGGCCTCTGCCAGGCCTGGGCCTCTTCCTGTACTTTCACGTGGTGATTCGCATCCTCTGTGAAGACACCATGCCCATAACATAACGTTGGATCTCTGGAGTGCAGGTGGCTGCCTGGCCCGTGTGGTGGAGGCGCCAGGTGTGGAGTTGGCAGTGTTGTCCTAATGGCTGGCCTGAGCCTGGGAGGTTGGCTTGGAGGTGTGGGCACCTACGGTCAGTGCTCGGATCTTGGGAGCTCCAGGACAGTGGGCCTCGCTGCTCCTGCTGGCCTGGGGCCAGCTCCAGGCTGGGACTGGGTTGGGCCCTCCTTCCCTCCTCCCCCTCAGCATGGGCCTTGCTGGTCACATGGAAACGAACAACCAAGAAGATGAAGCCTGAGGCCAACTGTGCAGCAGAGAGCAAGCATGCCCTGGCACTGCCCCTGTATCTACTCCTAGTCCACAGGGCCCAGGGCAGGGATGGGGATGTCCCACCCTACAAGTGCCTGTGGGGCTGCCACCCTGGCCACACCAGAGCATGCTTGTCTGTTTGCACCCCTTCTTTAGGGCACCTTATCTGGGGAAGTTGGAATTTTTATCCCCGTTTACCCATATCCTTATTTACGCAGCGTCTACAAGCTGTTGCCCTTTGGGGGCCTCAGTGCCCTGTTCTGTTGGAAATCCTGGGATTTGAACTAAGTGCAGTTCCCAATGGCCCTTGGAAGGAACCTACTGTTACCTGGGTTGATTTCTGGGCTGGCCAGCTTCCTCTCAGGTCCCTGCTTTGCTGTTCCTTGGGTGACATCTTGTGGCCAAGAACAGGTACAAACCGTTGGCTGAAAGGCTGTGGAGGAAGGCGGTCAGTCCTCAGCTCGAGTGGTCAGGATGCCCAGGAGGTGGGAGGCTCCTGGAACGGGGTCAACACCCAGCCCCTGTTGGGGTCATGCCAAACCTTCAACTAGAACAGCTCTAGACAGACCCAGAACTTGTCTGGGTCCCCTGCATTGAACACACAAATACATCAGGTTCTTCTTTGTCACCCTGTGTTGGGGTAAATAGTCATTATTCCCAGAAGATAAAGCTTTTTCTTTTCTTTCTTTTTTTTTTTTTTCCAGTACTGGGGTTTGAACTCAGGGCCTACACCCTGAGCTACTTCACTAGTACTTTTTTTGTGATAGTTTTTTTTTTTTTAAGGTCTCTCAAACTATTTGCTTCGAACCACCATCCTCCTGATCTCTGCCTCCTGAGTAGCTAGGATTACAGGCGTGACACTGGGGACCAGCATAATGTGAAGCTATTATTCTGAGTTTCAACCCTATGCCTTGAGTCCAACAGGCTCCAAAGCTAAGACC